ATATATATATATATATATATATTTAGGGAAACTACGAAACCAATTTACAGTCAAATGAGCAGTAAACTTTTTATTGTCATACTTACATGTTAATACTATCAACTGATAAAGGGGATTGAACAGGATTAGCGATTTTTAAATTTGACTCCTTTGTCAGTGAAGTTGTAACATTGTTGTATATGTATAACCCCAAATGAAATACTCGGAATCATCGACAATCATGGGCAATAAAAAATGGTTATTTTGATAGTTCGGTAGGTATGGGCCAAAAGCAGTAAACTTTGGCATCGGTCACAGTAAATAATATAATAGGATACTAAACATTGATTTATTGCGTATCACCCTATAGACATAAGCGAATAAAAATAAAAGATAAATAAAATCGGCAACCGTTACGCTTCTTCTTAACGCAAAACCATTAATGTACAGATCATAAACTCGGCTTAAGTTCCTACCTTTTTTATAACATATTATGGCAGCAATATTTCCAATATGCTCACTCACTCATACCTTAATTTTATAGATTATGAGCTTTAAAAGGGGTTACATAATAAGCCCTGCAAATCTGCTCAACTTTAGATAAATTAACACTAATAATTGTTAATAGTGTTTTTTTCATTTTTTATCTATTTAATTTAGTTTGATTTCTAAAGAAAATTCATCCACAAATTATATTTTATCTGTGGTCTATGTTTATGTTAATGAGATTATCTCCGAGTAGTTAAATTTCACCACTTAGACGAGGGCAAGTCTTTGCCATATTTTACTACAAAAAACATTTTGTGTGTACCTTCTACTCATTTAGATAATAAAGACAAAATATTTAAAACCACCACCCTCATAGATACCAAACTAAATTAAATATATAAATAATGAAAAACCTGGATACTTGACGTGTTTGAAGGGAATAAAATAGTTTGGAGATAAAACAGAGTGCGAAAATCATGAAACGCTTTAGGGACATTTATGAGAATTTACGTTCGGGCTTCATGTATGACAGTTGTATTTCACCCTCTCAATTCGACTGCACCCCCACGAACGAGCGTTCTAATATGGTGGATATGATGGTTGCTGGTGATGGTCTATACCCTACTTCCAATCTTTATTTCTAACGCACACGACCCTTCTGTCAATCATGTCTATATCCTGCGAACCGACGCACTAGCTTCGCTTTTAAATATGTTTGCACAAAATTGTTTTTATTTTCATTTTAAAGTGCCTCTCTGACAGCGTTCCCGATTTTATTCAATATTCCACATTTCATATTCCATTTTTAGACTATCCGCAAACCACAAATTTAAAGAACATTTATATCTCACGTTAGACAAAGAATCATCCCTTAAATTTTCAAACACCCTGTTTTAAAAATACCGTGACAAATTTTCTTCAAATAGGACAATGTGGTAAAGCGTAAAAACATAGGTAACAAATTGTCATAATTGCTATCAAAGGAAAAATCACAACATATGTCACTTCCAACACGTGTTAATAGTTTAATACGACTTTTATTCGAATTTCGTGTTAAGGAAAAAAGTTAAAACTAATAAATCAGTATCGGACTAATTTGAATTACGTGTGGCAAGCCAGCATTGGCAAGGGTTTGCACCCTTCTTTTTACTACTTGTAACGTAACAGATGTTAAGCTTGAAAAAAGTATCGAATTACCAAAACAAAAGTGATCATTATATTAATATTGTTGTCATAAGAAATGATTGAAGCGTAGCAATTATTTAAAAAAACACCTGTCTTGGGTCAATCAAATCATTTTGAAAATAAGGTGAAAACTGACCCACTGGGTTAACTTTTGGCCTTACAATCATAAGGTTCAAACCCCGAAAAAGGATGTAAAAAAAGATGATATCTGGTATACTTAAGCAATACTTTCTTTACATATATGTATGTTTGTCATAATCCCTAAATGGTTAAACCGTAAAGAGATTATTTGACATTTACCATATCATTCGCTTCTAGGACGAAATATTTTTCAAATGAGTGAACAGAAGGAATAGGATCCGATTATGATAAAATTTAATTGCGTGAAAATATAATAATGTGAAGTAATATAACACAGGGGTATATCTGCTATATTTTAACAGCACTAGTGCAGGGCAGAATTAACGATGATTTTCTGCTATAGGGCGACAACAGTATACTGTGGTATACCATTTAAAAAATTAAAATTTGTAAGTTTTGTTTTTAGTAAATTCAATTTAATTCAAATTTTAGATTTTATAAAATTAATTTTTGAAAAAAATTAAAATGAATTACATGATTTAAAAAGGATGGTAATGAGGAATTCATTTTGCAACTATTTTCTACCAATAGATGCTCTCGGAGATATTCTAAATTTTCCAAAATTAGGTTTACGATTATTAAGGCAATTTTTGAGGAAAATTAAAATGAATTACATGATTTTCTATTTTCTACCAAAAGATGCTATCGGAGATATTCTAGATTTTCCAAAATTCGGATTTACGAAAATTAAGGCAATTTTTGAGGAAAATTAGAATTAATTACATGATTTAGGAAGAATGGTAATAAAAGGAATTTATTTTCTACCAAAATATGCTATCGGAGATATTCTAGATTTTCCAAAATTAGGATTTACGATAATTAATGCAATTTTTAAGGAAAATTAAAATAAATTACATGATTTAGGAACACAGAGAAAAACAATCTCTTGATTTAAGAAAATGCATTTATTTGAAACAGGTTTTCTTGTATGAAGTAAAATTTTCTTATTATATACAATAAGAAAATACTATTATTTGGTTGTAAATCATAAGTTTCTTGAAAACAACTTATTGTTGTGATTAATTGTAAAGAAATATTTATTTAGAGCAATGAATTAAATTGTTTGGATGTATGTTTTGTTTCTTTAAGTACGCTTCTACTAAACCTGAGATAAAAAGTCAACTAGATATTTACTTTTATTAACCAAATATCAGTTTAAAAAGTCAAATAAACCCAAGTTTTCCACTAAATAAATATCTTCTTGTAGATATCGAAATAAATAATTTATTTGAGCCAAGCCAAATGTAGTAAAATCAAGAGATTACTTTTCTCTGTGAACAATGGTAATGAAAGGAATCCATTTTGGGATTTACGATCATTAAGACAATTTTTTAGGAAAATTAGAATGAATTACAAGATTTAGGAAGAATGGTAACAAAAGGAATTTATTTTGCAACTATTTTATATTATAGATTTTACAAAATTAGGATTTACTATAATTATTGCAATTTTTAAGGAAAACTAAAATAAATTACATGATTTAAGAACAATGGTAATGAAAGGAATCCATTTTGCAACTATTTTCTACGAAAAGATGCTTTCGGAGATATTCTAGATTTTCCAAAATTAGGATTTATGATCATTAATGCAATTTTTAATGAAAATTAAAATAAATTACATGATTTAAGAACAATGGTAATAAAAGGAATCCATTTTGCAACTATTTTCTACGAAAAGATGCTATCGGGGATATTCTAGATTTTCCAAAATTAGGATTTACGATAATTATTGCAATTTTTAAGGAAAACTAAAATAAATTACATGATTTAAGAACAATGGTAATAAAATGAATCCATTTTGCAACTATTTTCTACCAAAAGATGGTATCGGAGATATTCTAGATTTTCCAAAATTAGGATTTACGATAATTAGGGAAATTTTTGAGGAAAATTAGAATTAATTACATGATTTAAGAAGGATGGTAATAAAAGGTATTCATTTTGCAACTATTTTCTACGAAATGTGCTATCAAAGATATTCTTGATTTTTCAAAATTTAGTCAAATAGAGTGAATTAAAATGAAGGATGGGAATGGAAGGAAATTATTTTGCAATTATTTTGTACCAAAAGATGCCATTGGAAATATTCTAGATTTTCTAAAATTAAGACTTTTGATAATTTAGGCCAGTAAATTTTTTTTAATAAATTACATGATTTAAGAGGAACTATCGCAATGAAAGGAATTCATATTGAAACTATTTTCTGCGAAAGGATGTTATCGAAGATATTCTAGATCAGCACCATTGTAAGCTTTGTTTTAGTACAATTCAATAGAAAATTCTAAATAAATGGGTATTAAATCTAATCAATTACGTGTTGCTTGTGCCACACCTGTAGGTTAAACCAGTATATTTTCGACCTAGTGTGCTGTGCTCTGATTGGTTTATTTCTATAGAGATCATACAAAGTAAAGTTGTAAATTTCAAGAAACACCATCACTGTTTAATTTTGTATGTATTTAGCTAGTGTACCATTTTGGAGCGGAATAAAAAATTTAGGAGACAAAACAATGGTGTAATTTTTCAATAAAGTTTGTGAACCGCATTAGGCTGAAAAGTTTTTAAAGTAATAAATGTTTACAACTGGTTGGCCACAATTACAAAGCGTAGTTGGGGTGGCATTAAAAATTAGTGACAGTTGACATGTAGTGTAGAAAATTTGTAATTAAATTGAGCAAAGCGGACAGATGTATTGACAATGATGATGAGCATTTGACACAATCGGCGAGACTTTAAAAGTCGTGAGCGTGTTGCGTTACATTATCCCACTTAAAATTTTAAAATTGAAACTATTTCAATGTAATTTATTTACAGTGGAACGCACTGACTGACGGGGGTGAAATCGAATTCAACGGCGCCACCCCATGCAAAATTCTGTCGCATGCCGCACATTTTCAATAAAAAGTTTTTCAGCTAAACCGTTTCAATCTTCATTAACACAAGTGAAAATATTGTTATATAGAGTAATTTGGGTGTTTGTTTAACATATCGGAAGGAAATACTCGTATCAAATATTGAAACACCTATTACCTGAAAAAATCATAATTCGGCTTTTGCGTGTAAGGGTTTAATAATTTAAGTACCAGTCGGTGCTAAGTTGTTTTTTAACACATACATGCACTTTAAAAGGGGGTGGTTCAAGAATTAAGTGGACATTAGCATAATTTTTAAAGTAAATCACTAAATTACGTGATCAAATTCATTTACCTTGGAATGATACTACGTAATCTGCTGGGGTTTGGGTGGAGGCATCCACCACTGATGATTTAGATCCACATTTTCTGCACACCCAGTTTATCTCACCCATGTATATTCTAAAACACCTAAAAACACTTAATTAGATACATTTTAAGGCGTTTTATTAAAATTTACCACAATTAAAAATATAATAATATAAACACGAGGTTTGTGAAACATAATACATTATAGTAGCGGCAAAAAGTTGATAAACAAATCAATTGCAAAAACTATTCGAAGGTCAAACTCGCATTTTAATTGAAAACAGTTTTCTATAAAGTAGAAAGCTTTTATTATGTGGCTTTGAGAAAAAATCTTCCCGGTAAAAATCAAATAAAAAATGTTCATTACGCGAATTATGCTTTGAATCCTGATAGACTTCAAAGGAGCTGCACTAAAATAGAAGGAAAATTAAAAAGAATCAATGAATGAAGGAATAAAAGAATTCACGCGACTGTTTGGTGGTTTGCCAATGTAAAGCCTTCAGGGTTTAGGGTTAACACAATGCATTCGCGCCACCCCATTCCTGTTCTGTCACGTTCCACGTACAAATTCATTGTCCAATTTGTAAATTGTATAGGAATTTAAATAGAATATCGCATTTATTGACAAATTACCACAAATTAATCGCCAAACTTTCAACATCAATTTAATTTAACAATATTTTCCATTCAAATTTACTTATATAAATATTAGCCATAGCAATAGTTTAGGCAATATTTTAGTAAATTTTAATAAATTACATGATTTAAGAAAGATGCTACCGGAGATATTCTAGATTTTCCAAAATAAGGATTTACGATAATTAAGGCAATTTTTGAGGAAAATTAGAATGAATTACATGATTTAAGAAAGATGGTAATGAAAGGAATTCAATTTAAAACTATTTTATAGCAAAAGATGCTACCGGAGATATTCTAGATTTTACAAAATAAGGATTTGCTATAATTAATGCCATTTTTAAGGAAAATTAGAATAAATTACTTGATTTAAGAACAATGGTAATGAAAGGAATCCATTTTGCAACTAGTTTCTACTAAAATATGCTACCAGAGATATTCTAGATTTTCCAAAATTAGGATTTTACGATATTTAGGGCAAATTTTGAGAAAAATTAGAATGAATTGCATGTTTTAAGAAGGATGGTAATGAAAGGAATTCATTTTGCAATTATTTTCTACCAAAAGATGCTATCGGAGATATTCTAGATTTTCCAAAATTAGGATTTACGATAATTAATGCAATTTTTGAGGAAAATTAGAATGAATTACATGATTTAAGAAAGATGGTAATTAAAGGAATTTAATTTGAAACTATTTTATAGCAAAAGATGCGACCGGAGATATTCTAGATTTTCCAAAATAAGGATTTACGATAATTAAGGCAATTTTTGAGGAAAATTAGAATGAATTACATGATTTAAGAAAGATGGTAATGAAAGGAATTCAATTTAAAACTATTTTATAGCAAAAGATGCTACCGGAGATATTCTAGATTTTACAAAATAAGGATTTGCTATAATTAATGCAATTTTTAAGGAAAATTAGAATAAATTACTTGATTTAAGAACAATGGTGATGAAAGGAATCCATTTTGCAACTATTTTCTAGCAAAAGATGCTACCGGAGATATTCTAGATTTTCCAAAATTAGGATTTTACGATATTTAGGGCAAATTTTGAGAAAAATTAGAATGAATTACATGATTTAAGAAGGATGGTAATGAAAGGAATTCATTTTGCAATTATTTTCTACCAAAAGATGCTATCGGAGATATTCTAGATTTTCCAAAATTAGGATTTACAATAATTGTGGCAATTTTTGAGGAAAATTAGAATGAATTACATGATTTAAGAAGGATGGTAATGAAAGGGCAACTATTTTATAATAATAATAATGTAATAATATTTATTCCCATCTAAAAAATTTACATTTTGTTGGATAATTTCAATTATAAAATAGTAGTATATAAGTTACAAAATAATAATTTTAACATTCAATATGATATAAACATATAATAGTGATACAAACATATGATAATGAAACAAACATATAACAGTGATACAGACATATTAAACATTAAAATCAAAATCGAAGTATTCTTGCACACCGAAAAATGGGTGCAGAGTAAAAAAATATTTTACCTCTTTTTTTAAAAAGTTTGAGTGTGAGGTTTTTTGTGGCAGCTGGTAATTTATTGTAGGTCTTGAGAGCTCGAAAGTGGGTAGACTTTTAGTAGGTGGTTGTATTGTGCGTCGCGTCGGTATACTGAACAAGTGTCCGTATCTAGTTGATCTAATAGATCTGTTGTATGCAAAGTTTGGAGTAAAGTATTCTGGATGCATTTTTGCAAACATAACCATATTGTACAGGTACAAAGAGTATATGGTCATTATTTAGTTTAATGAATATAGGTGCAGTGTGGTCTTGATAGCCCGATCCGTTTAGAACGCCAATACGTTTTTTTTTTGCCAAAAGGATTCTTTGCATATTGCTAGAGCCCCAGATTACCAGTCCTTAGTTTAAATAGCTTTTCTACCAAAAGATGCTATCGGATATTTTATATTTTTCAAAATTTGATTTACGATAATTAAGGCGATTTTTTAGAAAAATTAGAATGAATTACATGATTTAAGAAGGATGGTTATGAAAGAAATTCATTTTGAAACTAAACTGCGCACCACTCAATGTGTCGCGACCAAAAAATTCGTTCTTTTTCAAAACGACATAACTTTTTATTTTCTTGAACGATTTTATTTTGGTCTGTGATGTCTGCTACCCCCATGCTCTGGCAATTCATGATATAGAGATGAAGCTCAAGGTTCTTTAAGTAAATTTCCTACAGGGGGATATGTTAAACGGTGAAAAATTTCAATAACTTCATCCAAGCCCCGTTTGTAAAAAAAATTTTTTCTCGTTTTTACTTTGAGATAATGAAGTATTATGTCTTACCTTAAAACGTTTTTCATATTTTTCGAATTGGAATCTTAGCAACAAAAGTATGTTTTTTTTTCAAAAGTGTACATTTAAGGCTTTTTTTGTAGGCAATGCACTCAGTCTTTTTAGGAACAAGAAGATAAGATGGTAAAAGATTGTTCCTTAAATAATTCTGAACAAGCGACAAGCAACAAACTTCCATTATTTTCAGAAGCAAAGATCACTTTTTCAAAATAACATTTTGGTGAAAATTTGCGAAAACTAAACCTAAACCGATATTTACGTTCGTGACATGTTTTCTTCATAATTTTGACCTCCTGATTATGATTCAGTTGTCAAATTTGAGTTTGAAATAAAACCAAAATCAACAAGAATCAAGATAAGAAAACAATTCCCGGCTGTTAAATGTTTTAATATAATACGATTGCTGGTTTTTACTGTTTTTTTTACAGTGTTTTGCATCTTTAGTACGTTATTATCATGATTAAATCAAGAATCAAATGAAAATTAGTTCTTGAAAATCATTCAAAACGCATTATGAGGCATTAATGCGTTTTGAATGATTTTCAAGAACTATTCTTGATTTTTTTAGTTTGCTTGTATTTTTCCAAATTTCGAAGTTTTTTTGCATAAGTTATACCTACCTACCTACCTACATACCTACCCCTATCTTACCCAGGTTACTTTCATTCTTCCTTTAAATGATTCAAATACCAATGCCAGACTTTGCTGCAGCTACGGGAATTAACATCTCAAAATCAACAGTTCGCAGAAGATTGCACGAAACGGGAGGCAAGGGTGGCTTTTGGAGGTGGAGGAGTGACCGTTTGGGGTGAAATGGAGATGAATGGAAAGAGTGAATGCTGAGAGATACAGAGATTTGGTTGTTAGTGATATCGTGGTCCCTTATGCTCAAAATATTGCCATTAATTGGTGTTGGTGGACTAGAATGCCCGTCAAACCGCGCCAATATCATAAATGAGTATTTAAGGGACCACCATATTAAAAGAATGAATTGGCCACCTTTGTCTCCGGATATGAATCCTATTGAGCATATGTGGATGAAACTAAAGATGAAAGAGAGAGAAGGACGCATGGAAAATTTTGATGAATTGGTAAATGCTGTTTAGGAAGAATGGGATACCCCAGGAACGAATTATAACGGGTTAGGGGAGGGCCAACGAAATATTGAAAGTTATAATTTTTAATGTTTGTTACATTTTTCTGTTGAATGTTGTAGTTTTGATCATGATTATATCTTCACATAAAACTTTTCAAAATGAACAAAAATATTTTTATTTAACTTTATTACCAATTAGGTAGGTACTTATCAGTGATAAGTTATCACACAATGTAAATGCAAGTTATGTAACATTATCCTAACCACTTAAACAAATTTCAGTAATTTCGCCCAAAAACTGAATCCCCAAATGGCATTTTAATCATAAATATGCAAGAAACACGCCAGCAATCTGATTTTATTAATACATTTAAAAGCCGGGAATTGTTTTCGAATTTTGATTCTTAGTGATTTTGGTTTTATCTGAAACTTAAATTTGAGAACTGAATCACAATCAGGAGGTCAAAATTATAAAGAAAACATGTCACGAACGTAAATTTCGGTTCAGGATTAGTTTTCGCAAATTTTCACCAAAATGTCATTTTGAAAAAGTGGTCTTTGCTTAGGCCCCTCTGAAAATAATGGAAGTTTGTTGCTTATCGCTTGTTCAGAATTATTCAAGGAACAATAATTTACCATCTTATCTTCTTGTTCTTAAAAAGACTGAGTGTATTGTCTACCAAAAAGCCTTAAATGTACTCTTTTGAAAAAAAAAATCATATTTTCTTTGCTAAGATTCCAATACGAAAAATTTGAAAAACTTTTCAAGGTAAGACATAATACTTCATTATTTCAAAGTAAAAACGAGAAAAAAATTATTTTTTTACAAACGGGGCTTGGATAAAGTTATTGAAATTTTTGACCGTTTTACATATAACCCTGTACGAAATTTACTTAAAGAACCGTAAGCTTCATATATATAGCATGAATTGCCAGAGGATAGGGCTAGCAGTCATCACAAACCAAAATAAAATCGTTCAAGAAACAAAAACGTGTGTCGTTTTGAAAAAGGACGAACTTTTTGGGCGCGACACATTGAGTGGTGCGCAGTTTATTTTATATCAAAATATGCTACCGGAGATACTCTAGAATTTCCAAAATTAGGATTTACAATAATTAAGGCAATTTTTTAGAAAAAATAAAATTAATTAAATGATTTAAGAAGGATGGTAATGAAAGGAATTTATTTTGCAATTATTTTCTACCAAAAGATGCTACCAGAGATATTCTAGATTTTCCAAAATTAGGATTTTACGATAATTAGGGCAAATTTTGAGAAAAATTAGAATGAGTTGCATGATTTAAAAAGGATGGTAATAAAAGGAATTCATTTTGCAACTATTTTCTACCAAAAGATGCTACCAGAGATATTCTATATTTTCCAAAATTAGGATTTACGATAATTAAGGCAATTATTGAGAAAAATTAGAATGAATTACATGATTTAAGAAGGATGGTAATGAAAGGAATTTATTTTGCAACTATTTTCCACCAAAAGATGCTACCGGAGATATTCTGGATTTTCCAAAATTGGGATTTACGGATTAAGGCAAGTTTTGAAGAAAATTAGAATAAATTACATGATTTAAGAAGGATGATAATGAAAGAAATTCATTTTCTACCAAACGATGCTATCGGAGGTAATCTAGATTTTCCAAAATTAGGATATACGATAATTATGGCAATTTTCGAGAAAAATTAGAAATAATTTCATGATTTAAGAAGGAAGGTAATGAAAGAAATTTATTTTGCAACTATTTTCTACCAAAATAAAATCAAAGATATTCTAGATTTTACAAAATTAGGATTTACGATAATTAAGGCAATTTTTTTAGAAAAATTAGAATTAATTATATGATTTAAGAAGGATGGTAATGAAAGGAATTTATTTTGCAACTATTTTCTGCCAAAAGATGCTATCGGAGATATTCTAGATTTTCCAAAATTAGGATTTACGATAATTTATGCAATTATTGAGAAAAAATATAATGAATTACATGATTTATTGAAAGGAATTCACTTTTTACCAAAAAATGCTAGCGGAAGTATTTAATAATATTTAAATTAAAGATGTTTAGATAATTTAGGCAATTCTTTAGAAAATGTATAATGAATGAAATGATTTAAGTAATATTGTAACATAATTATTTTTACCAGTTTTTTTTATAGAAACGTTTAGAAAATATAATAACAAAATAATGATGTCAAATTAACCACAAATTTATTCAATTTATTAAAACATTGTGTTAAAACTTCCTCAAAATTTAAATTTATTTTTATGCGGCGAAAACATACATAATATCTATTACTTAAACCTATTTCGGCACTTTCGATATGCTAATATAGGCGCATAATACCGAGATTACATTGTCAAACTCCCTCAGGATTTTTATTTTTGATCTAAATTATAATCTGCGGAAGGGGCTCAACAATAGCGACCTTACTCGAATCAAATATGATTTTTAAGACTCCATGCCATTTTTTATGTTAGAAAGGAAGATAAAAAGGACAATTTTACTTAATGTAGGTGATTCAATACCTATCTGCATTACCATAATGGATTTTTTTGCTGAATATGATGAATTCTCGGTTTAAATAATTACTAGGGGCAGAAAAATAAATATGTAAAAAACGGTAGATACGTTGTTTACAATAAAGTTGGTTGTATTTTTGAATAAGACTGATTCCCAGTTCGGCAGTATCATTTACAACTCACATCTATATCTATATGTGGAGGCAAGATTCAACAATTTTTTTTCTCTATAAAATTGTGGACCACCTTAATAGTGCTATTAGTCAAATGGCAAATAGTAAACAGATGTTGTGCATAATTAATATTACTTTTATTGCATCAAATATGTAGGTGATGCACAGTTCAATATGGTTTAGTTCGACCACAAGCCTTATTAATTGGTCATCCTGCGAACAGCAGGACCCAATAATTAATGTCAATTAATTCTGGTAATTAGGTTTAACATTGCAAGCCTGTTTGTTACATTACTATTGCTACATGCTATTATCTGAAGACCACATGTGCTGGACTCTCAAGCTGAGGCCTTGCACGCGACATACACCTATTTGTTTTCCATTGATTGCCAACTTAATTTTTATTTTTGGCTCCCCCTAACTGCGACATATCCATTGTCTTTAGCTCATTCAAAACTAACAAGTACGCGCATTCAATCGAAACTTCAAATGCATATGCATGTGACAAAAAACCATCATTATGATGATGATGATGAAATAGTAGAATCATGAAACAATTAAGTTAACCATAAACAGGGGTGGAAAATAATTAGAAGAAATGAAAACTGGCCACCGAAGCAATTAAAAGTAATTGTCAAATTAAAAAGCAAATATCGATATGATTGTTACGCGCGACAGGGCGATATTAGTAGACGCGTTATAGTGACAGATGGGCAGACGAGGGGAGGGTAATTTTTTCACCCCCCGCTTATATGCTAATTCGGCAACATAATGTTAACTTTTCAATGAGTTATGAATCACAGGTAGAGTCTTAAAGCACACCTGTTATATCGGTTATTTTGGCATTGTTGATTTAATTTTTTAGGCAGCTACTTATATATAAAAACTACCCCATTTAATAGTTTCGGGGGTCGCTTGCTTTAACAAACAATCACACAAAGGGATTGGCCCGATCCTATTGATACTATGCTAATACTTTTAACATGATATGTTAATTTGTCAAACCCATTTTTTTATAAACACTTGTTTTTATACAGGTGACAAAATATTGGATTTCTCCCAGAATTGGGAGACAAAGAATCCCTTTAAAACATTTATTTTTATTGATCTAGATAATCCGCAGGGCCTTTGTCATAAGCTTTGGGGCGACATATAACAACTTGTTACATAATGATTAAGCTATACATAACCCTCAGCGTCATCTATCACCAAAGCCAGGAAGCTCAAACTTCCTACATCCATTCATAGATGACTCTAGAGTCTTCTTCAATAAATTCAAATAAAACAACACATACAATATATTATATTTCTTTATTAATTAGCTATATATCACAATGTTTTCTATCCAGTAGATTAAGAACATGCTTTTCCAAACTAAATAGGTGAGCATCATCGATTTCAGGCAGAATATCTCTCATAATCTTTGCCAAATTACATACGTAATCGATATTTGGCCCACTTGGACCCACAGAAGTCACGACTTGTCTAGCGATTTCCGTTAATTCTGCAGGTCCTGCATATTGCGGATTTTCGTTGTTTGCCAGGTAAATAACGATTTCAAATGGTTCTTCATTCTCGTTTTTTGGATAAAATAATACTGCTTTACGCTCATAACCCCCTTTTTCTCTATAATCCAAGTGAGAGACCACATCATCGACTTGATCTTTGCTGATCTTGTAGGATATTCCATATACTCTAGCCTTAAAGAATTTTTGATAATTTAGGGGATTTTTTAGAGAAAATATTATGGATTATGTTATTTAAGAATGATGGCAATACAGGGATGTTAATGTGCAATTATTTTCTGCCGATAGATGCCATCGGTAGCTGGATGTATCAAAATTGAATGATGGTACCTAATACAAAAATTCTAGCTAGCTTCAGCCATCAGATTTTTTGAAATTAAAAATTTTTAAAAAATTTCAATGGTAGAAACTTACTTCTTTATCTCCTGGAATCAAGGTGACAACTCTTCCAGGCTATAAAAACATAAATTTACTGCAAAGGAAAAAAAATAGAAATGAATACCTTTTCTGGTGTCCCTCTATGATCAACACTGTGCTGATAAAATTTCCTTTCAAACCCTTTAACATAACCTATAACCTTTCTCTCAAATGGAAAATCGACTTTCCACATTAATGAACCATAACCAAACACCCACATATTGCAATTTTTTGACTACACTAAATAATACTATATAGGTTTTATTTTAATGTTAACTATCGCAATAATGCATTGTGTTGCTATAAAACAATTGGCGTTGTGACGTCATTACACGTGATACTGCAACGCGTTATAGCAGCGTTGTCAAGTATGTTTTGTTTACAGTATCGAATTATTATAATTATTATTTGATGTAAATATTGCTTTAAAGAGCGATAATCGTAGTTTTTTGGTAAACCAAAAAATATCTTTATAACAATAATTATTTAATTATTATTATTATTTGGTTGGTAATGATTTTGAGGGTTAATTATGGGGTAAATTAGGTGGGGTCGGTTTGATTTTAAAAATTCAACAAACCACCTGGGGTTGTTGATTAGGATTGCTTTTAAAAGGGTGTAAGAGATAAATGATAAAATGTGGTTGTAATCAATTTATTTTGAAGTGAAGTGAGTAGAGCGGAGTATCGAACGGTTTTTAAGGTCGCACATGCGCCCCTTGGGGTCGGGTTCTGTGTGTGTCCTGAAGTCCGGAGTGGTAGCGAAATCCGGGATATCTATGTCGTGCACCGATACATATCACACATTGTCGCAGATAGCATTATGGTTGATTCATCGTATGTAGTAAAGGACTATCGGAAATCACTAGTGCTTTACTTTTGCCTAAAACGCTCTCCCGTAAATTTGTGGTCCAAATATTTGCCATCCTGGCTCCAGAAGTTCCCAATATTCAAACGTCAAGCAACATCCCAGTGCTCTCAAGATCCAATAGCAGGGGAAGAGAAAGTGGTAAACAACAACAACAACCAATTCAAACAACACCGCCAATTCATTCCTCATTCGATACTATATACAGTCATCTTAAAGCAACAAAAACTGCACTTGTCGAACAACAATCAGCATCGTTTGAGAGCTACCGAAAAAAATACACATTTCAAAATAACGACGAAGATGAAACTGGACGAGCATCTTCCTTCAGGAGACGATACAGTTTTAGATTCGAAATTGATGAAGACGACAGTAATCAACAACAACAACAATCGTTGCGATACAAGGAAAAAAGTCCGTCCCAGCTTTTGGAGTCACCTAGGAAAGACGATATCCCCGAATACAAGCCTAAATACAATTGGAATGAAACGAAATCCTTCGAGGAAATTTCCACGGACTATTTATCCCTTTCATTATCTCCTCCAGGAGAACCTCAGGACGACATCCTACCCATCCTCGAAAGCCCATCACTGTAAGTACAATTTCAACAGGTTTCACACCAAGATTTTTTCAGCCTTGTTGATGTACTCATAGAGCCCTTTATAATTTACACAGCCACATGCAACAGCTGTGGTATACATATTTTAAAGTTTCTTTTGTATTCAATATCGATCCCATTTACTGTTCAGACACAATTAAACACGTTTTATTGGAAAATATTTGTTTTCAACATTCACATTATATGCCGCTGTAAAATTTTACGGCTTCCTCATACTTCATACCGACTTTATGAATAATAAAAATATTAGTCAACAACTTTCAACTTTAATTAAAATATATTGATATACATTTTTCCGTTATAGATCATATAGAGTTATTTATATTTAGCACACACAAACCAAAGTTTGTTATGCAATGTACTATGCCAACTTATTTTATGAACCCAAAAAAGTTTACAAATATTTTCGAGAAATTAGTTATTTGTGATTGTGAAAAACTACGAAAACTTCGTGTACCTATGTTTGTTAGTTCTTGTAAATGCAGTGTAAACACACTAAAATGTTGTTCGTATAAAATAGTCTAAAAATAATTTTCTTATGCTTTAAGAGTTCAGCTATTCCCGCCAATTTGAACAATTTTAAAATAATGGAACCCGATTTTAATTTTGTTTGTTACTTAAATGAAACCAAAGTGTGCAATACAGTTAATCTAATTGAAAATAATGATATCGCGATTATTATTTTAGCACATTTATTATTACCTTTCTCGCTATTGCTTTTTTCGCGAATATTTCGAAGGAAAAAGCTTGTTGTTGTCTTAACAGAGTCAACACAGGTTGAAACAAACGACGTCCCCGATCAAATAACTCCGATATTTTTTGCGATTACAAATTACAAAAGTGCCTCATGTTTCTCTTTGACATTGTAAGTCGACAAATTAATTTATTCCGATTTTAATTCCATTAATACAAAATCAATTAATTAATTTTGCAGCACGCCTGTTAAAGGAATTGACCAGATTGACGAGACTATAATAAAGAAAATTCAATACGTAGAAAATAGGGAATCTCAAGAGAGCGACTCTGACTATGGAAATGGTGGATATATGCCTGTGCATCCGGGTGATATTTTAGATGGATGTTGGAAAGTTTGTAGAAAATTAGGATTTGGACATTTTTCCACTGTTTGGTTGTGTAAAAATAAATTTAACATGTGAGTGCACCAACTGATTTCGTAGTGAAAATGCATCATGATGCTATGATCGGTATAGTAGAACATTTAGGTAAACTTTTAGAACATTTTAAAACCATATCAATTAAGAAAGAAGTCCCAGTGAACCAAACCGTGACTTATGACCTAAAATTTACGTAACACGTAGATCATATCTAGGTAATTCAATTTTTACGTCATAGTGACATAATACTGACCCAAAACGTGACTTTTATATGATGTAATTAAATGACTTACATATTACGTACATCTTATGTAATATTAAAGTCATATCGTGACGTAATATTAAAGTCACTTTTCTTACGTAAGACTGACATAAGAAATCTGTCATAATATTACATAACTTTTAGGTCACTGTCTTACGTAAGACTGACGTAATAAATCTGTCATAATATTACCTAAGTTTAAGGTCACTTTCTTACGTAAGGCTGACGTAAGAAATACGTCATACTATTACATACGTTTTAGGTCACTTTCTTACGTAAGACTGACGTAAGAAATCTGTCATACCATTACATAAGTTTAAGGTCACTTTGTAAGGTAAGACTGACATAAGAAATCTGTCATACATATTATTTAGACGAACTAGATAATTTCAAAGTATGAAATTCACTGTATTTTAATGTTTGAATTAAACTAATTTCAATGAATGGACTTTTATTTTTAATGAGTGAAATAGGCAAACATAATTTTTATTTTTTATTGATTGAAATGGTTAATTCCAATCATTGAGTAAAATAACGTAAGTAAATTCTATTAATTGAAATTGACGCCGATTATTTTAAACAATAAAATCAGTGGATACTTTTCCTTACCAATCAGTTTAATTCAAACATTAAAATACAGCAAATTTCATATTTTGAAATTACTTTTGCATCTAGCATGATGAAAGAACTAACGCGAAGTTCCTTGAATTTTTTGGCTACTTAGTACTTGGTCGATTAAATGAAAATATGGTTTAAAATCAATAAAAAAATAATGTATCTTAATTTAATATGTAATAAACATCATATAGATTTTTTTGATTCCGGTTCCTACTGCTTTATGTGAAAAATCATGTAGGTACCTACTTATAATCATGGTTGCAAGTACTTGCAAGTACCTACTTATTTTTTAAATTGTAAAAAATTATCAAAAAAAGATTTACGTGTTATTACGTGTTAACGTGTTATTTTTGTATTGTATGTTACTGTTATTATTTTTTGAAAATTTTTGAAAATGGCGCTTTTGGTGAAAGTAGAATTTTTTTGTTCCACCCTGTACAATCGAAAAAATAAGTAGTTACGCTTTAAAAGACCTGAAATGATATTTCACTCACTTCAAATTTTTTTAAATGTGACCTTGGCAGTACGACGTCATTTGTTTTTTTTTAATCCATGCATGTCAAAAAATGTTACCTATTAAAATACTAAAATTTTAAATTTTTAAAATAAAAATAATTTTTAAATGTTGAATATTGTCCCTAGCTATAGCTATAGCTACTCATAAAAAGCGATTTTTGTTTGTTCTTACTTCTGACATACCCTGTAAAGAATCTGAAAAATTAGTAGTTGGTTTAAAATCCATTGTGAGTTGGTTTTGATCAGCTTCATAAATTAGATAAAGTATCAGCTTGCAATAAATACCTTTTCGGTAATGATTCCATTTCCCATTGAAAAAAATGTGACCTTTTTACAGTACGACGCCATTTTAGAAATTTTTCAAAATTGGTTTAAGTCAAAAAGTAGTACCCAGAGTACCCTTGTCTCTGGTAGTACCTATATATTTAATGCCTTGTTTAACATACTAAAATTTCAATTTCCAAATACAGAGGTTCAAAAAATAAAACTAAAAAAAAATAATACAACCAAATTTAAAGAATTTAATATTATAATATAATATGGTATAATTATATATAAATATAATACCTATAATAATAGATATGTATTTTTACAATATTGTGGGTATTAGTATATTTTTTAAATTTAAAAAATGATAAATAAAAGAAATGAAATTGAAAAACGAAATTATTTAAGTACACTGAGAATATTTAGTATTCAGAAACCAAGAGATTTTTAATAATAATATATGTAAACTATTAAAGAATTCTTCATTGATAAACAAATTTTATAATAATATTATAATTTGGTCCGGTTATTGTGTTTCAGACAAATAAGGGTAAAGTTGTCAAATAACATTGATATATTAATTGTTAACAGTTGCAATATGAAGTAATGGTTGCCTATAATAAGTAGGCATCTACTATAATAAAGTTGAAATCTACTTATCATGGGCAACCCCCATTGCATAATACATCTCGCTTATGTGGCACTAATCGTTAAGTATATAAGTTGACACTGGCTGCATTGCAATTAGAGATTTAGGATCCGAACGAACCTCGGCAAATACACGAATTAGGAATTGTGGACCACGATAAAATTTAGATTTTTTGCTGGAATTTTTTCTTGGAGTCAGGATTGTTTTGTCATGGAATATCCGTGGTCCTCTGCTAAGCAGAGTCTGCTTAAACAGTGATGAAAAATAAGGAAGGGGGCTTCGTCATTCTGAGGTCATATTTATGTCACATTTATTACGTAAATATTATGTAATGGTATGATGTCAGTGTTACATCAATATGTTTACGTCATATTTATGTCATATTTATTACGTCAGAGTCTGACGTAAGGAAGTGTGAAATAATGACTCTTGTATGACTCAAGTGTGACCTATATCTTACGTAAGCGTGACTTGACATGACGTCATATTTACGTCATATTTACGTAATTGTGTTTACTGGGGTAAACCTTCACCTCGTTAGAGTATTTGTTTTGAGTGCGTTCCACCAACTTCAAATACCGACAGACAGCTGTTTCGACCCATATTGGGTCTCATTAGTGTCGGGCAACTTGGTGTAGTGGAACACACCAAAAAAAAAACACTACCTGAGCTTATATACTACTCAAGTAAGCTAACAGAGGCGAGATGTAAGAATATCCCAGGTAGCACACTGACGTTTGCTCACGTTTATATGACGTCTTTTGACGTTTAAATGACGTTAACAACGTCATATAAACGTCAGCAGACGTCAGTGTGCTACCTGGGATCACGTGATCCACACCGTCTAAAGACCAATCGGTACATACTATGCAACCAAGAATGCACGGCAAATTGTATCACAGATACTAATATGGCCTAGAGGAATCTAGAATTAGCCTTTCTTATGAAGAAAGTTTTTTGAAGAAACTAAGACAATTTAATGTTTACTATATCAATTTTTAAGAGGGATGGTGATAAAATAAATAAAAAGACCAAATATTATCTAGTAAATGACACTACCGATAGTATTTAATCGGTAGTATTGAGTTGAAAGTGTATGCAAATTTTAAGGAAATTTAGAAACTATATTAATTTTATATATTAATATATTTTTTAGAGAACCTAAGTATGTGGCAATTAAGATTTGTAAGTCGGCACTGATGTTCTCTGCGGTGGCACAAGACGAAATAAGACTGCTAATGCATACTAAACAAGTGAATAACGATCACCCAGGTTTTCATAAAATCGTTCAAATGATCGATACATTTAGGTTAACCGCCGATAATGGCGTACATACTGCCATAGCATTAGAAAGCATGGGACCATCTTTACTGCATTTAATAATTCAAAGCGAATTCAGGGGTATCCAGGTACCAGGTGTCAAACGTATTATACAACAGGTAAATTATTTAATTAAACTTATTTAATTTCAAACTACATGGTGAGGTTTTAGGTTTTATTAGGTTTAACCTATTTACACGATGAATGTAATATAATACATACAGACATTAAGCCAGAAAATATATTAATTAAGGTTAAGGAGTCCTATATTGAGGAGATGGCGGAACGGGCCGAGAGATTCACTGAACTAGGAATCCCGATGCCCAAATCCTACAGTATAAAAGCAAATAACAAAAAAAAGTAAAATATATATGAGATTGATTTTTTTAGTCTCTTCAGAAAGATGGATTGGACCCGACGAGGAGGAGGACGTTAATGATGAAATTTGTTCCAAAATCGAGGGACAAAGAGCATCTTCATATCCAAACGACGTGTTTTTATCAGATTTAGTGAATTTTAGACAGCGCCATGCTGAACCGAGATTCAGATCGCCAATGTGGATTGGAAATAGTATAGAAGTTAAAATAGCTGATATGGGAAACGCTTGCTGGGAGGTATGTACTACACTCTTAAAATCTCCACCGTCTTTTCACTGAAATTGTGAATTTTAGAACAATCATTTTTCTCCGGAAATCCAAACCAGACAATATCGTGCCTTGGAAGTGATAATGCAGTCAGGTTATGGTTACCCGGCCGATATATGGTCGGTTGGCTGCCTTGCATTTGAAATGGCCACTGGTGAAATGCTTTTTAACCCGAAGGGCAAATCAAGCCATTCCATTAATATCGACCATCTTAGTTTAATTTGGGAGGTATTGGGCGGCATTCCTAGATACATTACTGAAACTGGAACTGAAGCCAAAGTTTACTTTACCGAAGGTGGGGTATTGATTTTGTGTAAGTTTTACGTTAAAAACTTTGTTTTGATAATTTAAGGAAAACTGAAGCATGTTCCTGATGACGAGTTGAAAATATGGAAGATTGAGGATGTCCTGGTGGAGAAATACAAGTGGAAGAAAGTGAACGCGATACCGTTTGCCAGTTTTATAGAATGTTTGATTGAACCTGATCCCGCTCTTCGTTTGACTGCCGAAATTGCCATGCAGAACGAATGGTTGAATGAAGTTTAATAATTTCCAAAGTTCTGATATATTTCAAGACTGAAGTTGCGTTAATTCATTGTATATTTTTCTTCCATTTTTGTTTTCGATATACCCATTACATCCACTATTATGTTTCCAATAAACCTTATTAATATCTACTGTTGAGCTTTTTTTATAAGAATAAATATATGATCATAGAACAAATATACAATCAGTGTTTTAATATGTGTTTTATTTATTTCTGGGTTTGGAGAAAATAAAAAACAAAAAAAATGTTAACTTATATATTGAACACATTAATCTTTAACATGTTATATTATGAAAAACGTAATCACATTATATAACTGAGGTAACAGTATACAACAAAAAATAATAATGTCACTTTTGATTTTTTTTGAATAACCTAGATAACGCGTGATTACCTAAAGGTTCATTTTGCAAAGATAAAATAAATAATGAATAAAAAAATAAATAATTATATGAATTTCGATTTTTTATATATTTCAGTCATAGTTGGATAGTTAGTTAAATGCTTTTACAATTAGTATGGTGAAATATTAAAAAAATAATTTACATACATACATAATTGAACCAAAAAACTTAATCCAACTGAACTCTCTTACTTATGAATTGCTGAATTCTCTGAATGAACATGGGATTTGTTCTTAACACTACGTTGTTTACTAAACGAAGACCTGCCCAAAGAAGTGGAGCTGCCGCCTTCCAAATCTCTGGTAATCTCCTTTTCCGTTGGCGAACCCAACGTGAGACTCGATAGACTAGATGATAATATGTTTGAACTAACACTTAACAATGAAGGAAAATGCTGAACGTGTTCCACTACATCTCCACCTCCCTCAGTATCCTCAATCGGAAGACATGTCTCAACCATTGCCTCCAAACAATTCACGAACAACTCGCTGCTCTCTGCCGTATTGTTATACTAAAAAATATGTCATCACAAAACCATTATTCCACCAAGTGTCCTGCATACCTTATTGAAGGGCCCTGCAAATCTCCATAAGCCCCCGAAACCACAACTTTGCAGATAGTGAAGCTGCTGTTGACTAGTATCCTCGCATGCAATCATGTTTTGAATAATATTCCTAACTGAATTTAAAATAACTTGGTCGTGGCAAGTTGTAAGAACGTTATTTATCTTCATATCCAACAAATTATATCTGAAAAACCTCAATAATAATCTTGATGAAGATGAAGAGTTGTGGACTTACATAACTGGAAAAACTTTGGGAAAAACGACAGCACCTTCAGCGAGGTACTGATACAAAATCCTGGTTTCCGATTCGTCAGTACTATATTTAACCAATGTGGCTAGCACAGTCAAAACTAACGCTTGAGTATTAAAATCGGTTAAAACTTCAGCGTCCAAGAGAACGTTGTTTTCATTGCTAACGGATACTCTTGTGGAGCGGTTCTAAAAAAATCACTTCTAAGTAAAGTCGCCTTAAATGGTAAAGCAACAAAATCAGGCAACACAACATACACGACACACAATGCAAACAACATGCTAGAAAAAGACCTTCACGCACTTTCACACTTGTGGCCGCATTCAGAAAGAGTGTCAAAACCCAGGAAAATACCCAAGCACATTATACGTGAAATAAATTAAGCTAAAGATACAAACAATTCTGCTTAGTATGTGAAATTACATTATAAGTCATTTCATATAAAATGACTTATGTAGAGTGTGAGTGTAATGTACAATACAGGGCAGTAATGTCAGATTATATCACAGCATTATCAGAAATAAAGTTACCTTCAAAGCCGTCACACAGGCATTTTTGATACAGTGTGTCTCATGTATAGAGGGGACAAACTGTATACATATAGCAAAAGCGTTATATAATATTAAGAAATAAAATAATACATAGATAGATGAAGTCACTATGATAGATATGATAAATAATAAAAAAATAGGGACATACTGAGAAATTCTGTTATATAAATATATATATAATTAAATAAAACTGCGTTGCGCAGATGGACTCTTACTTTAGCAGGACCCATAGGCAGACTTTGGTTTTGACAATCACTGTTATTTACTGTATGGTTTGATATTGTTGGCGGATTCTGGGGTACTGGGACTGAGCTAGACCGTTGGGTGCGATACAGAGGCCGGGTTATAGCACCATTTGCCTGAACACCCGGGCTCTGGGTCAAATCTAGACTGCGCCAGCCCTTACCGGCTGCCGAATTGGAATGCGGGTTGTCTACCTAGTTTGTGATTTGCCATTTTTCATTATGTTACACATTTCAGTTTAATCAAACACTTAACAAACACTTAATAGGGGCGTTTTTAACGAGAAGATTTTTCAACGGACAAATACAAATAAACTGATAGGTTATCTGTAATTTGTGTTGTAAAATCTCTAATCTAAAAACACTCCTCACAGGGTGGCACCCGGACTATACCCATTTTCAAATAATCAGTATGCCATTTCTGTGTAGCAAAAATCATATCTTTCCTCATATCAATCAACTAATTGGGCTCCTCAATCTTCAGATCTCAGTATATGCGATTTTATTTATGGAAGAGATGATATAAAATGTCTTTAACTACTGGACATATTAAAAAACCAGTAAAGAAACAAAATTCTACCGATTATTTAAAAAAATGTATAGTTCAGCTGGTCACACTTTACCTAATAATGCCAAGTTCTGTCCCTGAGAAAAGGCATGGCAATACTAGGTATATTATTCTAAAACACGTCTGCTGCCAACAATTTTTTATACATATATATGTATACCGTATTACATAAATAAACTTGAAATTTCAATTTAAACAGTCAAGTGATAGCAAACGTGTTAAGGGTCTGATTGTATGTATACTTCATAAATCCACATCTACATACACTCAGTATAAATAAATGCATCGATACCAGATGATTATTTTGTAAGTTAGTAACATCTTACCCAGCATACAAAAAACAATGTTAATAAATATAAATGGAATCATCCAAAAATCGCTTTAAATTTTGCCTTTTAGGAAAAACACCAATTAGTAACCCTTATACCGTATTTTCATTTTTGGTGTAAACAGCTGACGCAGCATTCGGTTTTTAAGAGGGGGGAAAAATTCGACACGTTGATATTCAGCCGCCCTCTCACTGGCGCTTGGTAATAGTTGTGCATTTTTAAAACGCATTGCGTTAATTCGGTCATTAATTAATCTTTTAAATCGTTATTTGTTTTTCTTTTAACTTAAAGGTGTGTTTTCTTATAAAAACGTTTAAACATAAAACAATTCTCTTGAAATCAAACTAAAAATTGCTTGAAGCCTTCAAAGTTGTCGTCAACGCTGCAAAATACCCCCACTCTTTTAATGCGTTCGAATGCACCCGGCACTGTATACTTTAAGCGTGAAAATACGGTACACAAATAGCGTGAAAATACGGTATACAAAATGTCATACAAAATAGTAAGTCTTATGCTTATCCCATCCTCTCCTTGAATAAATCTTAATTGTATATCATTGTTGAGATTTTGTATATTCTAAAAATTTTCCTACACAGCCTTATAAAAATGAGCGTATGTATACTACATGATATGAATTTATGTAGCACTAACTATAATGATATGGATGTTATAAAATAATATAAAGAAATGTCACGTGCATTTCTTGTTCTACCACTACAATTTGATACCACCATAAAAATGTGGATAATCTATGTTTGATATAGCAAGCTAAAAGTGTATTTGTCATACCTGGTGATTGGGGGGCGGTTTGATGGCACGTGCCTGCGACATCGCAGATTGATCCAAAATGTCCCAGGATTTTTGGCGACGATTCACGCTGACTTGACTGGACCCGGTCGACGTGGACAACGAGTTGTTACTGGTAGTTTGTTGACTCAACAAACTTCTCCCTGGAAAGTTGTCTTGCGATATGGAATCCGACATAAACCTCGGAAGAGAGTGCTTAATGTGGCAACGATTTCTCACTTCTTCCGAAAAACCGACCAAAGCTAAAACATACATCATTTACACAACATATATACCTACATAGAAAGATGTGTGTACCTGTTAGATATGCAACACTTTCAGGGGTAACTTCGAACTTGTCCCGTTTAGACGGTTTGGCCACAATGTTGAGCAACATCGTCAAGACGCGTCCAGTTCTCGACACTGTGGTGGGAGTAGGATGCCGGTAACCCTTGAGCAAATGTCCCACCAAAGCGAAATGAAAGTTGGCCTTGAAACTTAAACCAACCGCGTGATCGAGTTGCTTGAAATGCCACTCCAAGGGTTCTCTGGTGGACATCATAACACTCTCCAATCCAACTATGTTGGATTGTATGTTAGGGTTGGTGTTGTTGCGTAAGTCTGATCTATCGTCGAACATCCCTTGGCAATCCAGAGTGTGTAAGTTTTGTTCCAATAGCGCCAATCCGGACGCGTATAGGGAAACTTCGTCCAATTGCAGGACAGATGTCGCCACCCAGAATAAAGCTTTATGTATTGGAGACTCGCTGCGTAGAAGGGGCTGCAATCTGGTCAAACACATGACCAAAGCCTCGATAAGAACAATATCGTTATAACTTTCCAGTGCTTTAACCAATATTCTCAGCAATTGTTTCATATCGTGATCTGTAATGCTTTTGCTGATGCAGCCGAATACTATCAACGCTCTTGGCTGTAACGCTGGGTTGAAACAGAAAGCGAAACTTTTCGCCAGGCTTGTCCAGTTTATAAGCCACTCGCAATTAGGTATGTCCCGCATACAAGCCTCCATTATTTCCAGTAGCGCGTCAGTAATCACTTCTAATGAGGTTAGCGATAGGCGTTCTCTATCGGTGGATGTCGCCCCAGAAAAGCTCCGTTCATTCCCAAACCAACGTTCGTTCGGGTGTCTGTAACTCGACCTGAAAGCGGTCTGCGCAGCCGATTTAACCTTACTAATACCAAACAACAAATAAAATTTCGGCAGCGAAAATTCATCCAAACTCAAACGCAACACGCGCTGCGTATCCTCCGAAAACGACGGCATGGTACAGGTACACAAAGAATGGATGATGTTGATCACTAAGCCATGCGTGGCGGCGCGCATGCTCAAAGACCCCGAGCACACCAAAAACGTGACCGTGTGGAACAAGTAGGGCAAATGGCGCGCCACATCCAGGCAATTGTTGAACGACAACATAAGCAAGTATCGCGCCAATATCGCTATATCGTCCCACATCATGTGCTGCTCCAGCAAGGGCGTCGGCGACTGACACGTTTTGTCCACCACCTAAAACAATAACAATGATATTCTTTCAACACTGGGAAAACTGAACCAAATCGTACTCTGCACAATCTTCCAATCACTTTTTTGGCGACAAGCTGAACGTTAGCTGAAGCTAATGCTACAGCTGTGTCAGCCATTATTTCCACCATGGGGGATCCCAATCCGGAATTAACCGATCTATGTATAAAATTATCTAAAACCATATCAATTAGTTCAGGTACTTGGCCAATGGAGCCCCAAATCTTCGCTTGAATCGAAGGATACATCTGCACTTCTTCAATCGTTAATACTATAAGTCTTTCGAGAATTTGTGCGACTTGCTTTTGTCGTTTTTCTTCGTTTGGCTTTACAAACCTAAATAATAATAATAATAATATTAATAGCTTTTGTTTGACGTAAGTATATATAAATTTATACCTGACAAGATTTGCAAGCCATGGTGTCATATACTCTAAACATAAATGTTTTAACTCTATACTAGATACTCTGAAACCTTGGATACATTCTTCCAAAAATTCTAAAGTTAAATGAGGTTCGTTTGTTGCTAACTTTTCAGACACCGACTTAATGAAAATGGTGTTGTTCGAGGGAATGCATAAACCTTGCGTCTCCAATAGCTGACCTTCGATTTTTAAATCGAAGGTAGCTGTGAGGGCACAAAGTTGATTGTATGCAGCAGTCCTTAAATGGGGATCCGAGGAACCCAAATTAAGCAGCGCCATATTCAAAAGCGTACCGGGCACGTCCTTTGGTCTTATTTTTTGATGAACATTAACCGATTCCTAAAAATAGTGGAGAGAATTTCATTGAAGTACTGATTTTTTAGTTTTGTGATCTCTTACCGGTTGGCTAAGTTCCCAGCGGTTTCTGATGTGTATGACCGCTTGGACAATGCTATCACAATCGTTATGAATAAAGCTGAGGGGTCCACTTTCGTTCGCGATGGTTAAGGTGAACTGGTTATCGTCGACAAGACAGACCTCCTCTATTTCCGATGCATAGTATACATCATTTAGAAGAACAGAGTGGGAAAGAACTTTGGTTTTTTCAGAAGAAGTAATTTGTATGGCAGTTGGTCCCACTTTTATTGCTACTTTGGTGTCTTTGTGTGATAGTTTTAAAGCGTTGTTAAAAACTTTAAGGTCCTCATCCAAACTTAATGTAGCACCGGGAAGTTTCTGTTGTTCAGGCTCAATAAAATCATTTAGCTTGTTGGGTACGTCGATGAATATTAGCTTTCTGTTCCCTTTCAGAGGCGCTAATATTCGATCGTGGAACTTGGTGTACTCCCGCACCCAACTGTTACAATTGTACACGTAGGCTGCGAATATGTTATCATACGCAACTTCCGGCAAAACGTAAAACCACTTTTGTAAAAATTCCGTCCTAAATCTATTATCTGAACACGTATGTGTAAAATCTACGACTAACTCAAATGGTGTTTGGCAAAAAGGCTTTAATGTTAATATAACATGGTATATCAATAGGTCGCCGTTAGTTTCTCCAATTCTACAAAGCAAATTTAATAAATATTGGATTTAATTAAAAAGAAAAAACTTACTTGTATCTTCTGGCAATGTAATAGAAGACAGGAAATCCGTTCTTACTGGTACCAGCTTGGTAAAATATGTTTAAAGATTTGATACTTTTGAATTCTTCCTTTTCATGCATGTTATGTTTCACCATGATTTCTTCAAAATTGGTCGACGACATATCAATGGAACTCCATCTTGCGTAAGATGAAAACAACATACTAAAAAAGGAATCACATATTACCAGCACATTATTAATTAAGTGATCTTACTGAGAATCAACTGGTTTGTGCTCGGGCGGACCCAAATAGGCAAGGAGCGTGGCCATTTTGTCGAAAGGTCTCCTTCCGACAGCCTTGTGGTCCCTGCTGCTCGACAAGTAGTCCCCGATTTTCTCCTGATGATTCCACAACAATCTGTGCAACGCCAAAACGTTGGCGTCACTAATAAAAGACATCGAATGCGATGTCTGATCAACAGTTTCACAATCGGAAGCGATTTTAATAAAAAATCTTCTACCAATCTCAAAGTTTGCTTTAAGGTAATCGTTAAAAGGAAGCATGTGTTGCTCCTTGCTAAACTCTACGTGATTAGCGATATTTTGAAGGATCTTAGACATTAGCATTAAACCTCGCTTGATGGAAGTGGGCACTTGCTTAGCCACAATGCCCATCTCCTGAGGCGATACAATAGCAGGATTAATAAATCGAAGAAAGATAACGGTGCCCACGGCACCAATATTGTTTTGAGGGAATTGAGGAAAACGTTTAGATAGAACTTGATAAAGACAATGACACATAGAGCGAAGCTGAGGTGGAAATTTATCTGCGGAATTAACAATAGCGTCGAAAACGCGTTGAGTTAACGCTATCAAATTGTGGCGATTTTCTTCTATATCTTCACTGGGCTCCAACCTTAAACAACAAAAATTAACCCCTTAACAATAAAATAATATCTTTGTTTACCTTGCAGGATCGACCTCGAAATTAACGAACGGTTCTTCAAATAGCGGCCTTATCATGGGCTCCAAAAGCGTCTGCAAATAACTAGCCCCGTAAATCTTAAAACAAAACGCCATAATCTTGCTTCCCAAAGAGTTACCTCTGAATAAAGTTTGCATGCAATCGGAAACTTCCACCTCTCTATAAAACATGTTCCACAGTAGAGGCGATAGCAAATGTTTGGCATCGAATAGAGTAACAAACACTCTGGCCAACTCATCCATTTGCGATGTAGTAACGACGTTGGCCAACGCTACGGCTATGGGCAATTCACCTTTATCGCTTATCATGGTCACTAGCTGCACAAGCTGCTCGAATCGGTCGGCCAACACGGTCTCGGCTAACGTATCGAATTCTGTGCCTTGCTGCAATATTTTTGTCAACACCTCCATGAATGCCGCTCTTGTTTGCAAATCTTTGTTGTAACCTAAATCTATGGAATGCATTAGACCGCTGTCTATATTAGCCGACAGTAAATTCGACATAGCCTGTATGGTGGCGTTTCGAAGCGTGCTTAACTTCCCAGCGTTTAATCTTTGCCGATTCACATCTTTCTCCACTTCAGGGGCATCTGAACAATCGTTTAACAAATTCATGAATAACGTGAAATATTTTAAGAACAGCTGACTCTTGGCCTCCATTAAATCGCCTCTATCCGACTCCTCGGGTTGCAGGGGAAGTCCTCTAAGTAAAGCTGCAACGGCCTCCATACAAGCCTGATCTAAATCCCTTGTTATAACAGTAACGTCCCCGGAACTCGGCGGTGCTATTTGATGCGATGTACCCATCACCCAGTCGGTTAAATATTCCACCAATTTGTTGCGGAACTTCATCTCCTGCCTGAAAGCCAAATCATCCCTACGCTTCATCATCGCTTCAACCAGCTGACACAACTTTGTTTTAATATGTATCGCATGCACTGTCATATCCAGATGCCTCACGTATCTCACTATAGCAAGCATCATGCCTTCTATGCTTGTCACGCCTAAATGTTCCGATGGTTGTTGATCATTTTTACCGCTATCCAAAATGTTTTTCATTATAAAAATTATGTGCTCGATGAATTGAGTATTTACTTCGGACACGACGACTTGTCCTTGTTGGTCAAAAAATTTATCGACTATTGTTTTGATTTGCTCGAAAAGTATTGGATATAAAGCTGAAGACATTTCGTGTCCAACTAACTCCTTAACGTGTTTCTGTATTTGGGCGCCGAATTTTTCGTTATTGCAAACCAGTAAGCGTAATAATAAATCGACAAATCTACAATTATACATTTATTTATTTAGTAATAGTAAATACAAATTGACTTACTGTGTAACAGGGCAGTATTGTCGCGATTCTTGTGTAGCACCGGGTAAAACACTGGATTTCCGACTATCGGAATTAAAAGAACTAACACTAACGTTGCTCAGAGAATTTATTGTTATTGACGAAATACTACAGTGTGATGAAGCCGATAGAGGTTGTCTGGAAGGCGATTTCCTTGAAAGGCAAACACCACCAAGCGCGCATAGAAATCCCGTCATATTCGCCCATTCATTTATTTGCTCCTAAACGAGATAATAAGATTTTCATTATTTTATATCCGCATTTGTTGGGGAAGTTTTGTCTTTTAATACAAGAGACATTTTGAAGGATTAAACAAAAACTGAAGGTTCAGTTAAATCTCCGAAGTTGTCCCAGTTTTCTCTATTAATTGACTAACCTCAAGTTCATGCTCCGAGTTCTGGTGAGATGCTCTGCGTTTGCCGACCAAAGTGGACCGATGGAACGGTTCAGTTTGGCCGTCTTCTTGCTTAGCTTTGGGATATGATGCGAGACTTTTGCATATGTGGTTCCAGTTGTTCATAAAAGTTTCCTCCCAAGCGGGCTGAACACCGTTCACGCAGTGCTCAATTTTCCTCAGCAACGCCATTATGCGTTTTTGTAAAGCCGCGCGACCTAACGTTAAAAATCGTCATTTCGAATTTGTTTAAAATACTCGATTAGGTTGTCTTACCGTTGCCATGATCTGGGAAACACATACGTGATTCCCCGCTGGCTGTTTGTTTACAAAAAATATAATTGTTGAAGTAAATAAGTTTATATTGGCAGCTTACCGGTGGTTAATACTGTTGACGCCTGGGCCAATTCCTGATAAATGTGATAATTCGGTACTAAATAGGTGACGGTCACCTCGTCAGAACCACAGCGAATTTCGGCTTCTTGGCACAAAAGCGCAAAGCAACTCATCGCCACCAAAACGGCGTCCATGTCGATGCTCCAAAGATACATAAAAAATACAACCTCGAGTTTAATGTGAGCCTGTTTGCATATGGCAATCTGGCTGCCCAAATTAGCGTACTCCTTATGTCTAGATAAAAAAGCGTTGCGGCATATCAAAATTTCCCGCAGCCATTTTAGAATATCAGTGTAGTTAACAATTTGGTGCTGGATCAATTTTTGCGATATGGAAAACAACACCTGCGAACTAACATCCCAGAATGTGTTGATTGGTGCTTCAGGATTCCACATCTCGATCTTTTCCGGATGATGCAGCACCAGCAAGGCTTCCATCGCTTCCTGAGCTACATCGGGCATGGTGGGCTGGTGCACCAAAGACACCAGCCCGTTTATTAGCTCCAATGTGGAGCTCTGAATTTCATGCCCGACTTTACTTTGATTCTAAAAAAATACTTACTAATAAGTCTATTCGTTTAACAGACGGAGTAAATAAAAATAAATAGACTTCCCAATAAACAATTTGTACTACGATAAATTATATAAAGGTCATATATGATTTGTCAAATTATATAAGAGTTTAACAAGGTTTTATAAAATCGTCATTTAGTTTACTAGTTTTATAATGGTCATATAAAGTTACTGTAAACTCTAGGTATTCAATTAGGTTATATAATTGTTTTTACAAACATTTTATAACCTTTAGTAACCGTTACCAGTAGGTTATAAAGGAGTTTTATAAAGTTTAAGGTTACCTGTTTTATAAAACTATTGTGTATTTAATTTTTTTAAATAAAAATTGTTAATTATTTATGTACTTAATAAACCAAAAATGTTTAGTAATTGAAACAGAAATTAAGAATAGTATTAGCTTTCGACGCAATTCTATTTTATAATTTTAATTAAAAATAGGTACCGATAACCTTCATAAACTCCCCAAATAGGCTCTTTAAGGTGTATATAAGAGTGATATAAATATTTCTGTAACCAAATTAAGAAAATTAAATTTTATAATTTGGATGATATAACATGTATGCTAAACACTATAGAAATAAAAATTCAGTATTAAGTTACTCACATTTAACATCAACATTGGATCGGCGTGGATTAGGCGCACCATGTAGAGCAACAAATTCCGATAACCGGGCACCTCCTCGGCCCTATCCTTGTTCTTCGTTTGCGAATCTTTGCTTTTCAATGCTATTATCATTCTTAAGGGGGTATGTTGGATGCACCCCTGCGAAACTTTGTTTAAAGTGTCGGTAAACATCGCCCTTAACTCTGAAGATTTATTGTAAACCAAATCGATTTGCGGCCACCAATGCAAGCTGGGCTGCGTCACAATCCTATACAAAATACATTAGTCTGTTTTGAGGTTATCCCGCAGAAATCAAGCATGCGCACATGCCATAAAATAATTTTAACCTAAATTATACATGTGCGCATGCGCAGATATCACTCTGCGCTCGTATGAGCACATATGCGGCGGCACTTAAAACGTGAGGCAAAATTTTTTTTTTATATGAACTGTGCGGAATAAAAATAACGGAAACTTACTTATACAACGATCTTACTAAAACCAAATGATAGCTGGATGGCGAGTTAAGGTTTAAACACACCTTAAGCGCCTCGTTATTGTGCGGTTTGATACGAAATACTGAAACAAAACAGTCGATCATCAAATCCATGTCGTGGTAAATAAAACTCTGCCCCCTCGAAAAAGGCTTTCCGGGGTTAAATAATAACGACTGAAAAAGTACTGTTAATAGTAACAATAACTAAATATCAAAATACCCACTTTTAAATCATTAATGATACTTTGTACCAATGTAAATGTTACATTGTTCGAGTCTAAAATGTTAATGTATGTGGAAGCCTTGCACAGTTTCACGCATGTGACAGCTGCAGCTTCTACAAGCTGTTTGCTGGAATTTCCGTGAGGATTTACGCCCTTCTTTAGGGCGTCAATAAAGCACTTCTTTTTACTGTGTTTAGGTGAACAAGGCGCTCCACTATCAGCATTCACAATTTCTTCCAGAACTTTCTATAATTGGACAAAATTATTCATAGTTTTTTAGATTTATTTAAATATAAAGTTCTTACTGGTGCTAAAATTAAAAGCATGATCTGTAAGGACCAGACCGAGGACCTGCCCTTTTTGTTATCGGCAATTGCATCTAGGATATCGAAAAGCGATTCGCAACATTTAGACAGCTCTTCGTTCGGATTTTTCTGCAATTCGGAAAATTCGTACGGATATGTGTCCATCCAGTTCCAAATGGCCCTCTCGAGCGAGTTAACCAGCACAAAGTGTATATTCTTTTTTAGAATTTTTTGGAATTTCTGTATAGCTAAAATTTCTGAGTTATTGTTATTATTTGATTGGGTGTATTTTTGTTACGTTCTTACCGGTTAGTATTCTAGTTAATCTATTTACATCTACATTAATATGTTGAATTAGCTCTATGTCACTGCAATCCGACGTGGTGTCTTCATAAGTGCTTAATTCTTGCAACTTAGTGGAAATACGGTTGAAAACGGCGTTAAAAAAATTCACACTTAGCGCAAATAAAACCTTACTTGCTAAAATTTTAATGGCATGCGTATTGGGATGATCACTGGGGTAATCTAAAAAGTCCACTTTATTTTAAAATAAAAAAGTGCTTGCTAATATTAGTCCTTACCCAAAAACACAATCATTTCTTTAAGGAGGATTTTTAAATTTTGGCTTTCTTCCATTGTTAAAGTAATAGAGTCTTTGGGTTGTATACTGAAACATTTTTCTAATGTCTCTAAAACTATTATTAAACTTTCATGATAATTTTTTTCTAGCTCAGGGCCATGTCGAGGTGGACCATTTTGTGCGTTCTGATACTAAAAAATCAGTTATTTACACACAGGTACAGACAAAAGTAATGCATTTTTAAATCATCACCAGTACCCAAATACAGTGAAAGCTCCCTTCGCGGACAGCGCCGATAAGCATAAAGCCTGATTTATAGATTGCCTTCCTTCCTTCCTCACGTAAAAGATGAACAATACAAAAACTGTTGTGCTGTTTATAGATTCACGTACGGGAATCTATAAACAGCACAACAGTTTTTGTATTGTTCATCTTTTACGTGAGGAAGGCAATCTATAAATCAGGCATAATTGTCACCGAAAAAACAAGCTTGGACGCGTAATCAACCCTTAGCAAGATCTTAAATGGTTCTAATTGGCGCATACCCACGCCTACCAAAATTCTTTAGGTTCTTATTCTGTCATTGTATATATTTAACTTTCTTCTATGCAAACAAAAATGTTGTAACCATGAGTGTCCGCTTATTGAAGCTTTTACTGTACTGCATCAAAGCAGTTTTTTTAAATTTAAATATACATAGGTACAGTGGCGGACACCGAATTTTGAACGACTATCATCACATTGACATCAAAATTTAAACTTCCTTTATAGACTTCTAACCTTACTTCCAGTTATCATCATTCTTGTCATTTTGACAGTGAAAGCAAAAATGGTTAATATTGTATGTTTGCTATTTACAGATTTATACATGGACAACCAAATTTTGACGTTCAAAATTCCGTGTCCATCACTGTACAACCCTGACAAATGCATTACCTATTTTCAATTAATGAACAAAAATGTGCTTTAACTTAAAATAAAAAAACATGTGGAAGAAATGGCAAGAAATTTATCTCAAACTATTAGTATTTTGTAATGGACCTACTTTTTATTTTTAAAATATCATTTGAAATTGCTGTCCATTCTTTTATATAAAAAATAGTCTTTTTTAAGTTAATTATTGCAAAAAATCATTTTTAAGGAAAAACATTTTAATATGGTATGATCATAAAAATCTACATCCTGTATAGAAGTAATGTTTTGAACACCCTGAATATGATGTCATGAACATTGTAAATGAAACAATTAAGTTGAGCATGCCATACTTACTACTTCATGTATTCTTTTAATAACCCTAACAAACCCATCCAATACTAATGCAAACCGATATCTGGATATTTGTATGATACAATGTTTGTTTTCCTCCTCATTTACTCGAGAATGAGTGGTTTGGGGTCCAATTCTACATGGCAACTAAAAATGAACGGATGCCAGTTAGATGCAATTAACAATATCCGTCACAATTCCAAATTTAAATACCTTTACATATATACATGTAAATATTGATTATAAGGTGGGAAGTTTAACAAGTGTACACAAATGGGGTTTATAGAGAAATTACTGGGTTACCTGTTCTTCAAATCTGGCAATTAATGTATTAGCCCATTCTCCGGGCCTTTGTGTTGCCATTTTCTTAAATTTAACGAGACTTTACATTATTATTGAGGTATTATTCGGATTGACATTTTGGGTTGAATTTGACAGTACTAATTCATCGCAGGGTTGCCAATATCAAAACAAACAATATAAACAAATTCAAATATAGACAATTTTTTTTAATTAATCGATTACCTTTGACTTGTAAAAATTGTAAATCGGGATAAATTATTTATTAAAATAGTTACAAGATGTAAACAAAGAGCCGGGCAAAGGTTAATGCTCATATTTATTGATTTTCATGCGTTTACGCAATGTGAGATGCGTGGTAGGTACGCGAAATAATAAATGCAATTTAATATTTATAACAAAGAATGTTCTTTACTCAAACATTTTTTTAAATTTGCATGGATACCATTAGCTTTTGTTCAAAATAAGTATGTATAAAAATAATGCTTTGAAAGGTCACTTTTTAAAAAATATTGTTAAATTTTAATGGCTTAAAAATACGACAAAAACAATAACAAGTTTTTGATTGACTATTAATTTTATATTCAATCTGTTGGTCCATATTATTATATCTATACATTATAGACAAAGAAACCACCCTTAAGGAGGTGTTCACATTTTGAAAATTCTTAAGGGTGTCAACGCACCAAAAATATTTTGTATGAATAGGTATAAAAAAATTTAAAAAAAAAAATGTAAAAACCAAATATTTTCACAAAATAAAACGCATACCTATTTAATAAAATTTAATAATTAGGTATCTAAATTAAACATTCTTTTGTCATGCATAAACAAATAGATTTTAAAGGACCAGTTTTTTTTCTTTAGAGGTTATCTGTCATTTGAGTGAGTGATCACGTAATTTATTATTTAAAAATATTTTCAGATGTGTGGTGAATTATTTATGCATTTTAAAGTATAAAATCACATGATAAGGATGAGCAAAGAATAAAAAATATAAATCTGGGCCTTGTTTTCCTTTTGTCTGAAGATAAGAGATTAACTATGACCCAAGTGGAGATAATTGACCCCCCCAGAGACTAGGAGTTTATATAAAATGGTAAATGCACTTAATTATACATTAGTAACGCTTTAATTATTGTATAGGCAGTAGCTTATAAACTTCTAACCTATAAATTGAACGTCTTTGTGATTTGTGTATTGATAGCGGATTTCTTTGTGTTAAATTGTAGTTTAACAAAAGTGTAAGAAATTTTCTTCTTCAATCTGACAGAAAGGGGAGGAATGCTAAGAACATCTAAGGATTGTCTAGGACTTCGTCTTCGCATTAACTCGCTTCATCAGACCTGGAAGTGGTTGCACCAAACTCAAACCTTACACGAGTACCTCATCTCTCTAACATCATCTTCTAAAAACGCCCAAACGCTCACCTTCTGTAGCCATTAGTGTATTTTAGAAATTAGGCACAACATCTTTAGGACTTTGTCATTTTAGAGACTCGAAATTAATTAAAATGGCGCTAGTTCACAGTAGCATCCACAAACTAGGTTCCATCATCACCCGCGTAAACGTGAGGTGTTTCTCTACACCTGTTATCAAGCAACAAGTGAAAAAAGTTGATGAAAAGAACATTAAAAAGTCAGTATTTTTATCACAATCAAAAGACATTTACACCAATCTCGCCCTTGAAGATTGGCTGTACAAAAACTTTGATTTCACCAACCATCATGTTTTAATGTTGTGGAAAAACGACCCCTGTGTTGTAATTGGCAGACACCAAAATCCTTGGCTCGAAGCCAACATCCCTGAGCTCAGCCACATCACTGACAATGGGGTAAAATTGGCCAGAAGAAATAGCGGAGGTGGTACTGTCTACCACGATCCCGGCAACCTAAACATGACATTTTTCACTGCCAAGGAACAGTATAACAGAAAATACAACTTAGAAGTGATAAGCAGAAGTATATTTAGAGAGTACGGACTTAAGGTTGAGATTAATCCCAGGGAAGACCTTGTCATCAGGGAGTTTAAGGTATCCTTTTTTTAATTGACTGAACAATGCATGTCTATCAAAACAACTGGTTTCTGATTGATGATACAATCAAAAACCAATTATGTAGTTTATCAATTAAAAATAGTTTATTGACTCAACAAGAGTATTTTTCCTTAATAAATAGCAGGTATCTGGAACCGCCGCAAAAATAGGCCGTCCCAGTGCATACCATCACTGCACCCTATTGGTCAACGCCAATAAAGTGGACCTCAGTCAGGCGCTTCACAAGCAAGATGTAAGTAAAATAACCCCCAACATCCCCAACAAAAAAATTCTAGCCGGAAATTTTGCAGGTAAACATAAAAACCAACGCCACCCAATCCGTCAAGTCCAAAATAATGAACTTGTGCGAAGAAAATCCCCATATTAACGTTGACAAATTAGGCACTGCAGTCGGCTGGGAGTTTATGAGAACAACCGCTATAACCTTGCAAGATGGCGGCATGGAATTGGCCAACCAGCAATGGGGATTCCACAAAGTCAACCCCACTGAACAATGGTACCCAGGTAATAAAGACATGCGCAGATGATCAATTACGCACGGACATGTTATCTTTGAATTTTGACCCCAACTTTGGCGTTATCTAACGAAAATAACCTGTTTTTTTTCTCGATTTTTTTTATTATCTTTGAACTTTTGTTCCATTTTATAGTTTTTGGTTTGTTACAAAAATATTTTGAAGCCCTCAATTTTATTATCGATTTGAATTAATATTAGTTATTAATAAACAAATATTATAGTGTTCTAACATTTTTTTACAGATTATTAAACTAAAAAGTTAAAAATTACCAATTTCAACAAAAATAACATTAGCGATTTTATTGTTTTTTGATATAATATCAAAAATTTTAAGGACCACTACGAGGCGCCCTAATATATATATATATATATATATATATATAGTTTTACATATGTACATATTTGTTTTGATTTACAGGGTCTCAGATTTAATCGGGAAAATGTAGTAGGGGGCCGTCCATAAATGATGTCACACACTTAGGGGGAGGGGGGTCGTCGAAAATGTGACAGTTTGTGACAGCCGGGGGGGGGGGGGGTTGGTTGGTTGTGATGTCACAAAATTATAAAAATATTTTGGAATTTAATAATTAATAATGGTTATAAACTGGATATTAAAATTTTATTTTAAGCAAAAATTTCGTGGGGTAGACCTTACATAAAAATTAAATCAGTGTGACGTGACGCCAATGGGGAGGGGGGGGTCCCATAATTTGTGACACTTTGTGACAAGTGGGGGAGGGGGGGTCAAAAATATTTAAAAAACGTGTGACATCATTTATGGACGGCCCTTAGTTGACCGAACTCGCCATAAGAAGAAAAGTTTATATGAACTTGTGTTTTAAAGCTTCGTTTTCGAGATACACCCTGTAAATAAATCTAAGTATAATATCAAACTCATAAAAAGTAGTTATTAAAAACAAAGCTTTAAAGCATACAAGTTATTTTTGCGAGTTGGATTGATTAATTAATTTTCCGGATTAAAATCTCTGTATATACTGATATTTGAGATACAATACATATTATATAAATTTTGTTGATATATTAAAACAGTTAACCTAAAGCCGTCATTTATCATTGTGAAACACAATGTTTTTTCTACGACCCTTTTATTTTTTATTATATTCAAATACAAAACAAAATAACCTAAAAACGTGTTTGACAGCTGTTAAAATTGCTTTCATCTTATTCTTTTAATTTTTAAGGTATAAGTTACTTAAAATCAATAACTTACCTTCTCAATTTAAATAAAGGCACTAAAATTGGAATTTATTATACAAACACAATTAATTGTGTTCTAAATGATATTTAGACATGCGTAAACAAATTTTAAAACAAATGTCAAACGATGCTGTCAATTTCTTTACACACAGACCTGTCACTTTACATCTGTGTTTTGCATTGCCAATGAAAAAATTAATTTTTTAGCAAGTGGTTGTAGAAAAATAGTTTTTTGTTTTACAAGTGTTTAAAAGCGACTTTTTCATGCGAGTGTTTAAGTTGCGCATTAACACGAACTTGAAGAAAGCTTTTCTCACAAGTAAAACACAATGTTTTTTCTACCACCCTTTAATTTTTTATTATTTTCAGGCGCATTCATGCTCACTAAAATAAGAAATAAGAAATAAGAATAAGAAATAAGAAATAAGATAAAAAGTTAAAACTGTGTAAAGTAATGGTTGCGTTCATGCTCATGAAAATAAGGAATAAGAAATAAGAAATAAGAATAAAGATAACAATTTTTAACTTTGGTTCTTATTCTTGCGTATAAAACTGCGCAAAGAACCAAAATGGGTCTGTGAATTATTTTGATGGGTTTTATTTGTTATATGCATGGAGCCATGGTGTTGGAAATCGCGTAGAGTGTCGCTGTCGATTGTTTACGTTTATAGCCAATATAATCCACTATAATAAAATATAATTTTGTGACAAAATTTTTTATTTCTTAGGTTATCAGCATGAACGATCAATCGCGGTCTTATTTCTTATTCCTTATTTCTTATTCTTATTTCTTATTTTAAGTGAGCATGAATACGCCTGAAAGGCATACAAAACAAAATAACCTAAAAACGTGTTTGACAGCTGTTAAAATTACTTTCATCTTTTAATGTTTAAGGTATTACTTAAAATCTATAAACTTGCCTTCTCAATTTAAATTAAGTCACCAAAAATTAGATATTATACAAACACAATTAATTGTGTTCTAAATGATATTTAGACATACATATACAAATACAATACAAATGTCAAACGATGCTGTCAATTTCTTTTCACACAGACCTGTCACTTTTTATACAGAAATGTCACTTTACATTCGAGTTTTGCCTTGCCAATAAAAAGATTCATTTTCTAAGCAACGATGCCATTACGAAATGTGACTTTTACATAGTGGTCGTAGAAAAATGTTATTTTTGATGCAAGTATCAATAATGAGGTGTTTTTAGGTATATCTGAAATTCGCGATCAGCTGCAAGGCTGGGAGTGGTGCTACGGCAAAACTCCAAAGTTCACGGTATCCAGATCGTTCGCCGTTCCCGATAGGCTGACATGCAGCGGTCCGGAGGACTTGAAAATAACTTTAACGGTGGAATCTGGCTTGATAGCGGATGTTTCTTTGTACGTGCCCCCGGGTTTATCGAGCAGCGGTTTCGCTGGCGAAGCGAATGTTATAACGCACTTGAAAGGTCAGAGGTTCGAAGAAGAAGTGTTCAACAACTTGGAGTTATCTCTGGGAGGTCTAGTCAATGATAGAGATAAGTTTGTTACGGAATGCTTGAAACAGGTCGTGACCTCCGTATGATCGAAGCATGGCAGAAAGAAGCGCTGATGAAGTCTTTCTGTCACTTTCATTTCTCTATCATCTTCATATCCATATAGTTTATTTTTGTTTTTAATTTTTTTAACTTAGGCCTTAATATAAGTTGATGTCATTGAATTGGCGACAAGAATTAATCATATCATTTTTATTATAGTTTTTAGTTCCTGTTAGTTTGTATTTTTCGTTTGTAAGTTAGTGATAATGTTATGAAAATGTTGTGCCTTACTAATATAATATTTTTAGTTGTAGATATTTGTATGCATAAAATAATAGTTATGTAAAAAGTACATCTTGTTTTACTTACTTACCACTTCATTTATTTGTTTTTATTTAATAGATATACTATTGAGTGTATATTTAACATTTATTTATTTTATAGAATTTTACAAAATAAATCACATTAAATGTAATATGTAGTTATTGTTTTTACACATTTGACATAGACTTACTTAAAAAAAATGGTAATAAAAATTCAATATTTTCAGCAACTTGAAGTTAAATTAAAGAAAACCTCTAAAAAATCCAAGTTTCAGAAATAAATAATTATTAAAACCAAAAAGAAACCAGCAATAAGTTACAGGTAATCACCTTTAAAAATTAACAAAAAAATAAAAAAATCCAATATAACAATACTAAATTGGTTAATATAAAGAAGGAGTGAATTTGAGTAAATCAAATTCATTCTATCACGCTCAAATTGCCTTAGGGCCCTTTACAAAAATACATGTGCCTTCATATTAGTAACTTTACAAATCTGAAACGGAAATTTGCACTTACAGATAACAAAATTTAGTTTGTTGCTTATAAAACTTAAAATAACTTTATATTACAGTTTACGTGCTTTCTGTACAGTAATGTTTTATTTTTTTTATATACAAAGTAAAACTACCTACTGATATAAACAAGAATTAACACTTTTTCATCAGTCTTAACAATAAAATATTATTTAAGCAAAGCCGAAGCCTTCAGAACACTCATGAATCGCTTTCAGCAGGTAGGAACGTAACTTGTCGTAAGTTTCGTAAACAGGAAGATCAAGTTGATTAAAGCTGAAAATAAACAAAAAATTAACACCTAATGTGTAACACGAACGCGACAAAATATTACCAAGTGTGTGCAGAAGGCAGCCGGTCAGTTGAACGATCGTCTCTGTGGATCTGGAACTTCTGGACCCCATTCATACCTTCCAAAGCTGCGAATCCTTGTAGAGGAACCTTCGAAGTTCCAGTAACGAACTGCAGGAACTTCGCACGGTCCGCCTGATCGAACGATCTCAGAGCGCGCCAGAACCATTGGATCTAAAAATTTTTTTTACATTTTTTACAAAACCTGTGCGTTTCTTTTATCAAGATTAATTACCTGAAGAGAGTTGGTTTGATACTTATGATACTCGGTATTAGCTTTCAAGTCGTCTATGTCTACATTCGGCAAGCCGGAAATCAATAACTCTAATTCTTGTTCATTGAATATCGAAATAAGTCGCATAGGTATAATATCGTAGAATCCTTCTAAGAACGAATTCAACCTAAACAAAAACCATCATAATAAATTCCTTTAATAACACTCCCATTATAAACTTACTGTTGCTTAATAGCTCCCGTCATTTTCATTTGACAAACCAGCCGAACATATTCCATCTTGTTTTCTTCAGTCACAGACACATTTCTGCCGTTCGGTATCAAGTCTCTGGTTTCGGTGACACCGAACTCGTTTATTTCCGTGCTGAATGTCAAATCCAAGCCCAAATTGTTAATGTTGTTCTCCATTAGATAAATTAAGCCTCGGTAGAAGCTGTAATCTTCGCTTTCCATGTCGGTGTACTTCACCGGGATGCCGAGAATATGCTTGTAGAACGAACGCGTGAAGTAACACTCGAGAAGCTTATTATCGTAAATAGCCTTGGCTAAAAAATATTCACTCATCAATAGTGTTGTCAATACAGCACAGGAGTTTTTTTAATAAAGAAAAGACTTTAGCGCCTGTAACAATTTTGAGAAACCTGGTAATATTCATATTGAGAATATTTTCAAAAATATTGAGAATAAACAAGAAAAATCGGAAACATTGACAAAAATTCTCGTTTGTGCTGAATTTGTGTTCTCGAGCATTTTCTATTTCTAGTATGAAGATTGAATTAGGAAAGATGTATTTTGAAGGTTGGGTGGAGATGGAAATGGTAATGTTTCTTGAATGAAATATAAGTTTTGGACTTTTCAACTGGTAAGTAATTACAAAAACAAAGACGAAATGAAAAAGATGTGGATATAAATTTGTACATACCTATTACTCTGCCTACGAATTTGTAGTAGCACAGATGGTTGGAATTGTAGTGACTTGCAGAGTTGATCATGTATGTGACTCTGTCGCCGGGCGAGACGGTGAATAGAGCGTACATCGGATTAAATATATCGCGCGATATAATAACGTACCATTCCCTGAGAAGGCCGCCAGCATCTTGACCTTCCTCATCTACACAAAACAATACAATAATTAGTACGACTCCTCATGATTTTGTAGCTGATTGATTACCTTCGAAGACAATATAGAATCTGTTCTTCCATTCTTCAGCAGGTCGTCTGAATAGCTCCCTGAAGGAGTCCTCGAAAATGTTGCTCCGCCTAACATGAACGGCGGTTTCCTCGCGCCTAACTCCATGATCCATGCGTTCCAACTCGGTTCTGAAGTAGCGCCTCTTGATATCGAAGTCGAGGATCCTGGTGTGATCGACCAGCACCGCGAAGGGACCGTCGGCGAGGTGTGCGGTACTCTGTCGCAAAATCTGGTTGAGCACGGTCCTGTGCTTTTCGGCGAACGTGAGGAATTGAAGCTGTTCGGGCGGTACCGGCACACTTTTGCTGCTGTCGGCTTTCACCTCCATCTCCGGAGCCGGTGCAGCTGCAGCTGGCGGGGGAGCCGGTGCAGCCACGGCGGCTACAGCAGCTGCCTGTTGCGCCACTTCCGGAGCGTTCGTTGTCGGTTGAGCTGCGTTTGGCGCGGCCGGTTGCTGCTGCTCCGCGTTTTCAACTACGTCTTTGGCTTTGAACGCGCCCTGTTGCGGCGAGTGAACCAAAAAGAAGGCTTCCACGGCAGGCTGAAATATTCGCGCGTTAACGTTTGTTTTAATTTGAAACTAGTTGTGATCTTACTTGTAAAACAAGGACGGCGTGGTGGTCTGGAGTGTGTTCCAGCTCTAAAAGGCACTGACTAAGAGTTTCCCATAAACTGTCCAAACTGTTTAGCTGCTCGCTTAAAGCATGCAGATCGTAAGAACTCGAAATATCGACTGAAAAAACATAATTAATATGTAACAATCCCTTTACGTGAAATAACTTACTGGCTCTCTTCATGTTCTGTTTGATAGAGTTCCTGATTTGCACGATGACTCTCAAAACTCTTAAGAAGAAGATTTGACTTGAAGACTTGGAAGTTAAAGGCACCATAGAGGGTAGTTGTAGTTCGCAGGAAGTTTTTACTTTTGACGAAGCCGTTATTATGACTGTTTCTTTGGTAAATCTGTTGGATATGACGCCTTTTGATGTCGAAGGGCCCGCTTCGTCGGCAAGCTTTTTCTTTTGAACGTTGTTTAGTTCTCTTAGGTCTTTCAGCATGTTGTGTATTTGATCTTCGACAATGTTGCCGATTTGGATGGCGCCGTTGAGAAGAAGTTTAAGGATCATGAAGCTCATATCCAATGATGAGCCGGCTAGGTTGAGAAGTAGATTTGTTATGAATTCGAGACCTTCCTCGGAGCAGTTCTTGTAGGTGATAACGTTTACGGCCAGATTAAGAGCGTGAGTTGGTGTACTTGCATCGTCTGGTTTTTGGCCTTTTTTGCTAAACTTTGCGCTTCCTGTTGGAGGTTTGCATAGCTCAGGCATTCCAGATGTTGTAACCGACAGCAATTTCAAAAGATTATCGGTCAGTTGAGTATTTCTGTTGACAACAGGCGAGGCCAACATGCTTAATAGTTGTCCAAACACGGACTGTTCGAAAGTGATGTTGCATTCGATCTCTACACTTTGGCTGCTGCTTGCGCTCTTTGGTATACTCTTTCCTTTCTTTACGCTAGCGGAATCCAATCTTAAAAGGACCTCCCAGAAGTCCTGGCTTCCCTCAGGCTTTACTTTAACTGGAGTCACAACGTTTTTCTCTTCCTTGTCATCTCTGATGGCTTTTATTGGCAATAAGCACGAAGGGAAGGCCTTGGCCAAAGACGTGAATAAATCCAAAGTGTTTCTGCAGACAATAGGCGCAGCCTGTGGATGAATGCCAACACTAGCCTGGGCAGTTCGTTCGCTTCGCTTGCCGCTGCTTTTGTTTACGATAAAAACGTTAGCGGAGCAACCCAGAGCCGCCTCCATGCGTATGTTCAACCAATTTCCGCCATTTTGGAGCAACTTCGAGTCTGTCATTAGTTTGCTGGATAGCGGGCCTGGCTTCGGCATTTTTCTCATTGGTTTGGCAACGTTCTCTTCCGGTTTAACATGCACACTTTTATCGATGATGGATAGTAAAGCGTTAATAATCCACTCCCTTGTTGGGGCGTGATAACATAAATTCCTTATAACTCTATGCAGACGAAGTTTGTTTAGATGTGGGTCATCAGTGAATAACAGTACTAGCAAACAGCACAATCCCTCGTGGTCTAATAGTTGCCTACCTCGAATTTTTAAATGCGAGTTGGGTTGAGTGGGATTGTTGATGAAGTCTCGGTTCCACTGTGACCATTGGCTTCTTTGAAAACTGGTCGGACGTAAGGTATGACGTCTCGATTGTCTGATAATGGTGGTCAAGTTGCTTTGCAAAAAGCGCTCTTGCGCCATCTGACGATTTCTAGCGTACCAATCGCGACGCAGAGTTTGAGCCTCGGCCGCCAAGTCTGGAGGCAAAGCCGACATCTGTGAATCTTCCATATCGGAAAGAATCATTGTCCTCAATGAAGGCTGTAGGGTGTCGAAAAAGGCGCCGGCATCTACAGGCTCGTTCGGATTGGCTCTTGCAGCGGCTTGACGTTGTTGCTCCAATCTTTGTTGAGTCAGAACTTCTTCTTGCAATGCCGGAGGAAGTGCGGCCAAAAATTCGGGGCTGACTTCGGTCGAAGTGCTCGGATTCGTTTGCTCTGTTGCAGCCGTACCAGCGGCGGTGCCCGAGGCGAGTCTTTGTTGCAGACACAAAATCCTGTGCTGCTCTAGCACTTCCCTGCGCATGTCTGGCGGTAGAGCTTCTAGAAAAGAAGGATCCACTCCTTCCGGTATATCGTCGCTTGCAGGAGTTGTTGAACTAGTTCCGGGTTCGTTCATTACTACATCGGCGGCTTGAGCTGTTTCAGTCGGTGGTGGTAGTGGTGGAGGTGGAGGTTGTTCAGTGGTGGTGGTGGTGTCTTCTGGAGTTGTTGTCGGCGGTTCATCGGCAGCGGGAGCTCTTGTAGAAGCGCCGCCTTCTGCACCTTCGTTTTGCTCGGATTCATTATTGGAGACAGGGATAGGGAATAAATCTGGGATAGGGAAAAATTGTTCAGAAGATAAACATGGCGTACTGCTGCACACATCAACCTCGGGTTGTACTGCCACGCCAAAGAAGTGCACTCTGGGCAAAACAAGTCTATGCGATCTTAATGAGGGTAACAAAGTCGTTTCGTACGGATTAGCTCCGTCTTCAACTCGTTCTTGGCCAGCTGCGGTTGGATCTCTTTCGACCTCTTCCGGGGCTTCTGAAGGTTCATTTGACTCGGATTGTTCACTGTCACCTTCGCGATTCGCCTCTTGGTCAGCCTCTGGATTTTCCAATTGACGCATACTTTCTTGAAAAATGTTATAGGCGACATCCTCTACGGCAGCAGTCTCTTGTTGATTTGGATTAGGATTCGGAGCGGTTGGTTCAGCTGATGATCTTTCGTTCGATTCAGGCAATGGTACGCCATCGATGTCCTCATCATCTTGAGTATTTTGATTACCGCCAGCCGAATTGCTGTCCGTAAGATTAGCATCGTCCAAAAAGTTAATGAGCACAGGTTCTGAGCCATAATCGCACTTTATTGGTTTTAATTTACGTCTTTTAGTTTTAGTTTTATCATCTTTGCCTTTCTGAGACTGCATTTCCTCGTTTTTATATTTTATTAATATTGGAATAAGTTTGTTGCAGACTGATGTTGTGCAGTCATACACCGATTCTAAATCGAGACATTTGGATTCTATATTCCACCAGTGCAAAACTGGCGGGACATGGCTCAATGTGGCTGCAAGGCTTGGCCCAAACAAATATCCAGATTGGTCAACAAAATCGATTTGTTCTTCGTGAGACGGCAGCAAGCTAAAGTTATCCATGACAACTACGCGAGCATTATCGCGCATTTCATTACCGCCTCCCAATAAATTGTTGGCTCCCCCTAGGGCGATGTGAGGGTCGTGCGGACCTAGCAATCTTTGCAAAATAACAGGCGGGTTTGGATTTCTAGGGCTAAATAAGTATTGATATCTTCTAGCCCTGTTGGCTCTTTGTGTTCTTGTCGCGGTGTTGGAATTAGTTTCAGTACTGTTACGCGACATCAACAAAGGGTGAACAATAGATCCTGATTGATCGGTGGAATTGTTGGCTTCATCCATGATGGGAATTGTAAAGCCGTTCTCATTCCAACGAACCATTCTGGGGATAGCGTCGTTGTCACTGGCATGATCTGTGTATTGAATCATTAGGATGTCCTCCTCTCTATCCAAGTGAGAAGCGATACGAAACATTCTATCATCTAATCCATTATCAAGTACGCTCATTCTGCGCTCCAAAATGTCATCATCATCGTAGTTATTGTCTTCGTTATCGTCTCCTTCGTCGATGTTATCGTCATCACCGTCCCCATCTTCATTATCCTCGTCTTCAACTTGATCAGATGGGTTCGAATCGGATTCGCCAGAATCGGTACTCATTAACTCCTCGGTAGCATCACGTTCGTGATCGTAGGTAAGGTTGCCGTCATCATCGATATCCATCGTGTGATTTCTCTGTGATGCTACATCATAAGTCTGATTAGTCTCGTTATTTCTGTGTTCCAGAATATGTTCCATCATTTCTTCAAGAACTGACTCGCCTTCACTTGCTGCTACAGGATTCGGCTCCAAACTTGACGCAACGTTCGAAATATCATGCTCAGTGTTTTCTGTGTCTTCTAATTCATCGCCTTGAGCATTTGTGCCCTCAGTTGAAGTTCCACTTTGAGTACCTGCGTTTTGCGTGCTTTTTCTAGCTTTATTTTGCAAACTATTCGGAGATGGTTGAATTCTCGACAACGATTCTAACGGCTTTAACGCTGCGTTTGCTGTGAATGGCGTATAAGGCGACGATAAGTCCAAAAAGTGTGTTACTTTGGCCAAATCATTAAATACTCCACGACGGATCATTATTTTGACAATATTATTGACGTGATTGTTGGTCCATCTGTTATGAGCCGGCGGACAATTTTCAATCATCGTTGAAATAATGCTGCATATATGTTGCACCTGCGAATGCTTCTCCGATGACTCTGGCAACAGTAGGGCTCTATTTAATGCAACTTTTACTTCCGTCACCAAAATAAGTTGCGCCTCTGGTGAATGGTTGCTGGACGCGATGGCTGCAATAAGCATGCGACACATTGTTGAACAATCCGCATCGGAAATGTTATCGGTTTCCGGTAAAATTTTATCAAAAATAAAAGCCAGCGCTGATGTGTCCTCCTTAATTATATCGGCGCAGTTAGCTTTAAATGTATACTCAGCTATCAGCTTGGCGATTGGTCCAAACGAAACTACAGCATCTGCTAATATTTTGAGAATGACGGACTTTGGAAGCATCGGCTTTTTCTTCGTGATTTCAGATTTTTTCTCGCTTGTGGCCGCAGTAGAATCCGCGGACGTTTTATTGATGGAAGAACCTGATGCAAGATTTAAAGTTGCCTCTGCTACTGCATCAATAACTTTGACAACTTCAGCGCTTGTTTGCGCTTTGGGGGCATCTTCGGGACTCGATGGTTCCGAAGTTGTTTCTTGTTCTGGATATTCCAATGGTTTTAACAAGGAATCAAGAAGATCGTTTATGACCTCCATCGAAATGGCTTCTTCTAACGGTGGCGCTTTAGTTCTTGTAGGCGGCTCGGCTCTTATAGGCAAAGTAGCATCGACTGAATCACCCTCTTTGCCGGCATTAATATCAACCCTCATAATCGTTTTGGCTACATCGAAGAAAACATCAGGAGCTCTGGTGATAGCCCCGCCAATTTGTCTGGTAAGGTAAATCAAGTCTTTGTAGGGTGGAGGAATAGTTGCAAGTGTTCTACACCTAATAACTTTCTCCATTGCAAAGGAAAGAGTGTTTGGTTCTTCCAATGAGTGTCTTATTAAAATTGTGGCAAGAATGCCAAAGCCGCCAAAGTCGCAAGTCTGTCTCATTTTCAGCAAGCATTTTACGCCGCCTAATTTAACGAACTCTTTTGCGTTCTCAAAATCTCTTGTCAATCTTACGCAGATTTGTAAGACTGAATGCAGTAAATCCTTTTCGATTTGCAAGTGCATTAGCTTAACGCAAGCAGCCACGATGTCTTTGTCGTTTGTTTTTTGAAATCCTTGCACTGGCACGCAACGTTTTTCCTCTTTTTCAGTTAATTCCGCGAAAATCGCTCCCTCGGGTGCAACTTGAGTAATATCAGAACAACTAGGGTGACCAAAAGTCATGAGAGTCATGGTAATTGGTCTGTTATTGCCAGTTTCGTCATTGACTTGAAGCATATTGGCAAAAGTTACGGTGTATCTTTTTCTGCCGCATGTAACTCGAATGCTTTGCTCGCCATTCCAATAGGCGTCGTTTATAAGTTTGTTGTTGGAGCTTAAATATGGCGTCCATTTTCCGCTGACCAAGTCATACCATCTCCAAACTCTATTGGTACTTTTATGCATGCTTAATTTTCTATGCGTGCAAACCGATACTTTCGACACGGCATCGATTAATAGGAAGGCTGGTGCCAACCATTTTGGTTCGCGGGATGCGTTAAGAGCAGTCATATGATGTTCGGCGGAAGTAATCAATTTAATCATAAGTTCAAGTAGCTGGGACTTGTGAACGGCAAAACCGCAAGGGATTTTCATTTCAAAGTAGGAGAAAACTTCGAAAAAGAGTATAAGTAGGTGAGTGTAGTGAGCCAAACGGTTTGAAAACGGCGATTCTGTTAACGAGTAATAACTCATCACATTTGGTGGATTCTGCGTGGCGAAAGCCACTATTTCCGCGTTCTCGCGTATTTTTTCTACCAAAGTGTCTAGTAAGTTATCTCTGTAAACTCTTCCATTACGTTTCATTATAGTTACGAGTAGTTCGCACACTTTATGCACAACATCGGGTATAACGTCAAGTAATTTCAAGCACACATCGAGTGCGTGCGTGGTAAATTCGTCGATCATTTTCTCGAAGGATTGTTGAGTGTCTTCGACCGGCGGTGGAGTTTCTTTTTTCTTCGGAGCTTCAGGAGATCCGGCGCAGCCCAACGACATCGCGATGGCTTGCATGACTTGGTCGTCTTCGGCCAAGTCGACCTCCATGGATTGGGAACCGCGTCTCAAGTGGGGCGGGTTCATCAGTAAATAATCGGTGGCTTGTTCAAGGCTGACAGTGTGAGCCAGAGCTTCTATGGCGTGCTCTTCCGAGAAACCCATATCTACGAGTTGTCTCAAGTTGTCGTCGTCGCGTGGAGTTTGCGTGGCTGGCGTGGTGCTGGGCCCTGAGGCGCTAGCGATAGCGCTAGCTGACGTGGACGATGTCGAGGAGGAAGAGGCAGCCGCCGTGCTTTCCGGTTTGTTCTCCTCGGTCTTTAATTTTTCCTTGATGATTTTTTCACCTCTAAATATATGTCTTAAAATTGTGAGCAAAGTTTCCGTCATCCTGGCCGGTAGTGGTGTTTTACCCCATAATAATATCACACTTTCGAAGGCAAGCTTGTGAATATCGATTAAGTATTTTAAAGGATTAAACGTGTAGTTTTTGTAGTTGCTACTCTGCGTGTTACGGCTGGAAATGGTGTGCGGCGATTCCAAAATGGCTTTTGGATTGACCATTTTTTCTAATAGGGTCAACCAGGCGTCCAAAAATCCCAACGAGCCTTCCGGCAGCGAAGTGTACTCGACTCCTTCCTCCAAGTTGTTTTGTCCGCCGGCATTAATTGCCCATTCGAAAGTCTTAAAGAACGTTTTTTGTCCGCCAAGGTTAACGAACTTTTTCAGCATAAGATGGTAGGGATAGCGGCGCTCGTCGAACAACATGGGACTGGTAAAACCGACGCTGCATATCAAAAAAGTCAGGCCGCACTTGGGCGTCGGACACGACGGCAATTTATCGCAATCGAGACCCTCGGCCAGCAGCAAGTTTAAAACGGTGGCCACGTTGCGGGCGTAAGGCGAAGGCAATGGTGGGGCGGCGACTATGTTCTGCCCCCTTCGTTGTCTTATCGGGGAACCGACGCACAATTTTACAAGCAAACCGAACAACTCGGCCAACGCACGGCCCAATCTGGACGAGGCGCCCAGCAATGGCTTAATGTATTTCAAATTATGACCGGGGCCTTTGTTAATTGTAACTGAATTTTCGCCATCCACGTCCATGGAAATTGGGGGCGGATTGGTTGAAAGGGCCTCCATGGCGGAAGCCACATTACCGGTGGTATCACCGCTTGAATTTCCCTCACACTATAAGTTAACAAATAAACCAGTAAGTAACACTAAAACTACAACCATTGTGTTGTAGGGTAGACAGAAACATTACATTTACTAGGGTAATTTGAGCGAGCTGAGTTCAAATTAACCATAATTTTGCTTTTGTTTTCACGATATTGTAAAAAACTGTTTTTGCACAAGGGTGTTACCTAATAAATTGTCATCCTTTGAGAGGATATCATTTTCAAAATTCTTGTACATTTAAAGAAGAAAAATTTTGTTTATTTACGGGTGTTATGTAACACCTAAAAGTGGGCAGTTGGATAAATAAGCCCTTAAAAAAAGGAAAAAAATGGTCTCCTGGGTCACAAATTTACCAACATATTAAAAAAACTTATATAAAAATGCTTAATCATTTTGAAAATATATTTTTTTGCTTGTTAATAATCATTTTATGGTATTATTTACACTAGGTTTTGTTTTGAACATAAATTTATTATTTATAAAAAAATATTAAGTACAAAACTAAGTAAAAGCAAAAACTAAGTTCTATTTCTCAACTTTCTTGCATACATAAGTATTTTAAATATACTTTCTGTATTTAAAAAATGTCCATTAAAAAAATGAGTTTAAGAAATTTTCTTTTAATGCGTAATAAAAACGTTTCTTCTCGATTTTTTATCTGGGACCAACTTGTTCAATTTAACGAGCAATAAAATAATAAAAAGTTTTAGTCATTGGTATAATTATATTAATAAAATAATAATAAAAAGTCAATATAAACATTGTTTTGTTGAACTTCCAACAATTTTTTTCCAGCTTCTTTGAGGCAAAATACATTGACTAGGAAAATTACCATTAAAAAGATGGAGGACATTATTTTAAATTGGCTACATACTGTCAGAAACAGAAAATGTAAAAGGTCGAAAAAAATGTTTTTAAAACTTTCCTATAAGTTTATTGTTATTTCAAAAATATATTATAATTGATTTCTTTGTAATTGTCCCCTGAGTTACATAACTTTTCACACAATATGTGATGCAGGAGACGTGTGACCCAGGGGAAAAAATGTATGTTTTTAAAACATAACCTTTTTACTGTTTTAAAGATAAAAATTTGTATTTTTGCCCTTAAAACCATTACGGGAATACTTTCTTTTGAGAATCAAACAAAGTCCTTTACTACTTTTTATTACTGTGAGACGGGAAAATGCACAGTTTTGCCACGCTGATATAAAAAATACAAAAAACCGTGTTGTGCCTTCAAGATAGTTCAAAACACCATTTCCTACTAAAATCCGTTACCAAATACATTGCCGCAAGGGGGCAGCACCAAAAAAGGCGCCCTTAATTCAAAAGGTCTTTTATAAAAGCTGTGACCCAGGAGACATGACCTAGGGGACCAAAATTAAGGGACAAACTTTGGGGGTTATTTTAACCACTTGTATTTTTAAATATTACCCTAAATGGGCCTTTTACTACTTGGAATATATTCTCACCTATATAAAAAAAGGAGGATGTTAATTTACTCTAAGATGTTTAATAGCATTAAGTAGTGAATATTATTGCAAGTGTGTCAGCTACTTTTCTGTACTGTTGGGAAAAGTTGAATTTTTTATAGGGTTAAATTTAAAATTTTACAATTTTGCTAATATATAGTTGCTAAAAACACTTGAAAGTTCCAAATGGCGTTAAACTCAATTTTTTATAAAATATTAAAGTTGAGGGACAGCAAATGTACAAGGAAATTTGAAAATAACTCACATGCCTTTAAGTAATGAATCGAATGCACAAAAAACTTATAAAACGCGATTTCGAAAAATGTAGAACACAGACAATTACGAAAATTTTTTTGTCGGCTAACAGATATGAGTGAGGCAGTCGCGAAACTAAGGCTTTATCAGGCCTAAGCCTAGGCGGCTTTAAAAGTTTCAATTTGTAATTTTTGGTTTTAGAGCACCTACTTATGTAATCCCTAGAAAAGCTGTTGTTGGCCACCTTACAATCGTTAAAAATCGAGCAATAAAAAGCACTTACCCTATCGAAGAATGCGTTCAACTTCTCGATGTCTTCTCGGGTGAAGTCGCAATCGGCCGGAATGAGATCGTCGCTGCAGTAGGCCAATAGAAGGGTGCTCTCCCAAACCAAGCTGGTGTACAAGTCCGCCAATCCCTTGAGCACCTTCAGTCCCTCCTCCGAGCCCCAGTGTTGCAGCGACAAATTCCTGATCTCGGTCTGTCCGGTGCGGCAAACGTGCACGAACATGATGACGTAACCGTGCGCGGCGCCCATGGCGTGCAAAAGCGGCGTTGCCGATGCCGTGCTGAAGGCGCTTTCGATGTTGGAAGCGTTGGCCAGTTCCAATAGCAATTTCGAGCCGCCCGGTACGTTTAGTTTCGAGTACAATTTCGAGAGGGAGTCCAGAACTCCGCCCAATTGCGATAGACCTTCCCTGAAGAGATGCGGCTCGTGCGCCAAGTTCAGTATGCTTTTGCACACCGTTGCCACCGCTTGGGCCGGATTGGTCAGCGGACAATCGACCGGTAAATTCGGCAAGCCTAATATTTTCAACAGCGGGCCCAAACCGCCTTTATCGACGAACTCCTTGCAATGATCGTCGGTGGAATTGTTGCTCAGAATGGCATCGATAAACTTCATGGAGTTTAAAATGTAGTCGATCAACGCGATCGGTGTTCTTTCGCTGTTTTCTTGCACTTGCGTATCCGACTGAGCGTTTTGCGAGGACGTCGATGTTTCCTCTTCGTCCTCCTCCTCTTCGTCCGAGGAGTTTTCGTTATTTGAAGTCGAACGCGAGGCATTGGACGGGGAAATGTCGGATTTACTGTGAGGCCTCCAGCACACATATTTCGGGTCTGTTCCCAGATGCACTAATTCTTGGAGAAGATTCACAATGGCCAGTGTGGCATCATGACGCAAACTTGGCTGGTGGCGCATCAGTTCATCCATTGCATTACCTATAGATGTTACATCAAATTATTTGTGAAAAATCATTGGAAAATATAAATTCGATTTTATGAATATAATCGCGTTAAAACGTTTTTTTTCGTACCATAACACATTTTTACGATAAAATTCAAATTAAAAAAGTGATAGTTAAAAATCTACCTAAAATACTTTTTATACCGTACTTTCATTTCACATGTAGGCGTTGGCGAAGTTTACTTTGAATTATTAATACGAATCAAGCATTATTAAGTTAAGTTACTTTTAAAAATGATTCAGATACTTAAAATCAGTTTTAAAAGTAAATTATTAATTAAAGGTGAAAAAATCTTTATTTGTTTTGCATTTAACTTTAAGTGTTTTCTTATAAAAACAAACGTTTAAACATAAAAAAATCTCTTTAAAAACTAAAATAAAATAAATCAATCAATTATCTCAAAACAAAACTAAAAATCAAACTTTTAAGAGTGGCCGAGAGACGGTTTTCGTAATTCAGCAGAAAACCCTTCACCGGCGTTGGGTGATAGTCGAAGTTTGCTTTGGATTATTAATACGAATTAGGCATTATTAAGTTAATTTACTTTTAAAAATTATTCAAATACTTAAAATGTAACGTAATCAGTTTTAACAGTAAATTATTAATTAAAGGTGTAAAATCATTATTTGTTTTGCATTTAACTAAAAGTGTTTTCTTATAAAAAAACCGTTTAAACATAAAAACTCTTTAAAAACTAAAATAAAAGAATAAAATAATTCTCTTGAAAACAAATTAAAATTAATCAATCAATTATCTCAAAACAAAACTAAAAATTAAACTTTTAAGAGTGGCCGAGAGACGGTTTTCGTAATTCAGCAGAAGACCCTTCACCGGCGTTGGGTGATAGTCGAAGTTTGCTCTGGATTATTAATACGAATTAGGCATTATTAAGTTAAGTTACTTTTAAAAATGATCCAGATACTTAAAATTTAACGTAATCAGTTTTATCAATGCAATGTGTAGGACATTATAACTTATAATTTTAAATAAAAGAAATTAATTTATGTTAAAACGGGTTCACTCGAGTGTATATATTTAAAATGAAAGTACGGTATATTAATATTTGCGTCATACATATTTACATTATAGCACCTGATATTAATCAGGTACTTACCTAAATTGCAGGCTGTATCCGCCATGGGCTCCGAACTGCGTCTTCTTCTCATCGCGACAAGATAATTCGGCGACAATAGAACCTTAAAAAGCTTCTCGAAGGGTTTGCATTTAGCAAACGACTGAAGACCGCGATTGTTCAGACAAAGCGCGCTGAAAACGTTGGGGAGCGAGCCCAAAACTTCCCTTGTGGATGGAACATCTTTGATTAACAAAGAATAGAGCACAACGTGCGTCAGACCGTTGTCCTGAAGGGCGGACAGCAGCGAAGGTTCCTGGTAAACATAAACGGTAACTACATCGGTGGCCAGTAAAAACAACGAGGGCCCGTAGTACTCGGCGTTCGCGATGATGTTTTTCAGCGAGTTCGGCAAAGTGCCCTCCATGAGGTGGCGAATTTTGTCGGCAAACGTGCTGTCTTGGAACGCCTTCTTCAAAAAGTTCAGCATCGATTTTAGCAGCGCGGCCCTTTGGGGCAGGCAAGTTTTGCCTGCGTTCTCCGACACGTACTCCAAGTCCACCGTGGTGCACAGGTCTTCTTCGGGGGCGGCGGCGCCCGATGGACCGGCCGCCGAGCCCGCCTCCGAGACCACGGAATTGCTCATCGAAGTGCTGGCCCCGTCTTCGGACTGATCGGCGATGCTCATTTGAATTTCGTACAGTTGATCTTTCTTGCATAGATTCACTTCGACGTCCAGGCGGCTTATGAAACTCTGAAGGCCGCCGTGAATTTGAAACGCTTGCATGTCAATGTTGGTGATCAAGTCGATCACTCTTACAGCTCTTGTAACAAACTAACACAATCTAATTAGTATTTGTTTTAAAATGGACCACACGGCTAGAGCTCCCACGCATAAATTACAAATTTTATTTAGGAATTTAGGAGGTTTTTGTAAAATTTTAGGAGTAATAAAGTAATTACTGTATTTAAAAAATAATTCTTTTTAACAAAAATATAATTAGATATCACTTCTGTTAAACAAATAGGTTACATCGACTAGTTTTTTAGCCAAATCGCTCGACGAGTTTTTTGAGGTTTGAGGTAAAATTACTACTTTTGTATATATGTATGTACCGTACCTTCATATGCAAGCTAACCATAGGGAAAATACATTGTAACTGGACCAGATAAGTCGCAGTCAAAACAAAGCGAGAATCTTCTCAGAAATGATTTGGATGCGTCGTTGAGACATGCGTACTAAAACAAATTTAATCGCCAGGGTGGAGTCACTGACTCCGAGTCAGTGTGGCTATGCCCAGTGCTGCCAGATTGGGCGCTTTAGCGCCAATTGGGCGGTTTTAAGAAATAATTTGCGCCTAGTTTTTTATAAAAAGCGCAAACCGCAATTTGGGCGATTTAAAAAAAAATAAATTGCTCTTTTGGAAATTCTTCGAATTAAACTTTACTTATAATATATCTTCAGATTGCAGCTGCCTGTATTTAATACTTATAGATATTAACAGCGATCACCACAAATAATAATCATAGATGGTATTAAAGTAGTGTAAACACATATTCCTACTGGGTAAGTATATCAAGTGTATATCAAGTGTATATGTGTAAAAAAATGTAATTTTATAATTAGAGGTGAGTGCGGTCAAAATTTGAATTCAAGCAAAAGAAATTGAAATTGAAATATGAGTTCTGATTGGACAGCTAACTTTTTCCCCTTTCCGTTACTGGGATGTTGTGCAGCCGGCTTAACAGTAATAATATTAGTAATAAATATAGCCTACCAGCATTCACAATAATAATGAATAGGAACAGTTTCTATTCCTTATTATTTTGAATGCCAGTAGGCCATATTTAAATTTATTTATTTAAAAAAATAAAGAATATTTATTTTTTTATTTATTTTTAATAATATTAAACATTTATTTTTGTATATTTCATAAATAATAATAAAATTGTTTACTATCAAGAAAAATATCTTTATCTATAAAAATATTAAACTGGTGTGTCTAAGTATTTTTAATGAATTTTGCGAATTAACCGTTACAAGAATTTAATTTTAATTTTACCAATCTAACGTTGGCGCTGATTGCAATTTTGTTGGCGCTTTTGGGCGATATCTCGCTCGAAAATTGGCGCCTCGACTTTAAAATATCTGGCAACACTGGCTATGCCACTTGCGCTGTAAGCATTGATGTACAACTATGCTCGAATGAATTCCTTACGTAAATTAAATTTTTATCCATTAGAACCAGTTTTTTATTTTTCTGCTAACTATTCAAATTTGTTTCTTTTAATACGATCTGTGTAAAAGAAATCAAATTGATTTTTATTAAAATTAGCAGAAGTTTAAAAAACTGACTCATAATCATATGAAATGTATGGTTTTGTTATGTTTTGTATTAAGTAAAAGTGTACTCTAAAAAAACATTTAAAAATAAAAAAGAAATCCTAAATAAAAAACTTAAAAATGAAACTCTAACAAAACTAGAGACGGTTTTCAAAAGTACCTCCCCCTTGTGCCAAACAATATCCCAACCTATCATAAAATTCCCGCCGAACGTTTGCTAGCATAAGAGGAGTAATGGCCTGAAATTCGTCTTCAATTTTAATTTGAATCTGATTTAGGTCACTAGCCCTCTGATGCTCATGTCCATAAATAATAGACTCAATATAGCCCCACAAAAAAGTCATTCGGGGCCAAATCAGGTGACCTCGCCGGCCACCGAATGTTGAAAAAATTTTGTTAGGGAATATTTGTTGTAAATATTCTACAACTCGTAGACTATTATGGGCTGGACATTCATCCTGCTGAAATGCAGTAATAATTTGGTTCTGCAATAAGTGCAAGTAAGATTAACCATTTAAATTGCCATTAATTATAAATGGTCCTACAATGTTATCGCCAAAAATACCAGCCCAGTTTTTCTGGGTACTGAGTACGCAAGTTTAACTGCCGGTACTCATTTTCAATGGCCCAGTAACGCAGAATGGACGGATTGTGTTTTCCATGAAGTGGAAATGTGGATTCATCCGTAAAAACAATATTTTTTGTAAAGTTCGGATCATCGTTTGCCATTTTCATCACGGTTTCACAGAATTTCATTCTGCGGTACTTGTCATCATCATAAACTTCCTGATGAACCTGGTATTTGTAGGATTTAAATTTATTTTTTTTAAATATTTTATGAAATTTGCCCACTAACTCCGGTGTTTTCAGAAAGTTTGTCAACCGAAACGGTGAAATCTTGTTGTACCATTGCACAAACCATTATTTCCTGCAATTCAGCGTTGTCATTAATCCTGGGAACATTATGGCATTTACATGGTAAAAGGCAGCCTTTTGATTTTAAATTGTCATAGGTAGAGGAAATAGTTTTGGTACAAGGAATTGGGCGATCCGGGTATTTCACAGAGAAAATATCTCTCGTTTCCCTAAAAGAATTTTCCCGAATTACCCAATAAATCATATCAAACTTTTCCTCTACAGTATAGTGATTCATTTTAAAAATCTATTTTATTTTTAATTGTTTACCAGATTTACACCGCACAAAATACAAAACAATAATAAAGCATCGATGTATAAAGCAAGGTCAACTGTTACGGCGCATGCTAGCCTACTCGTCCACGCGTCCAAATCATTTCTACAACGTTTTTCGCTTCGTGCTGACTAAGACTTATCTGGTTCAGTTACAATGTATTTTCCCTATGGTTAGCTTGCAAATGAAGGTACGGTATATACAGTATTGGCAATAATTATTGCAACAACTGTAAAAAAACCAAACTTTAAAACGCCTTTATTAATATTTATGAAATGTTGGATTAAAATACTTTAACTTATGTCTCAGTTTACATGTTCAAGGGTTTTTAGATATTTTTTTTAAAGCTGTTTTATTTAATAATGAAAAAACGTTCGAAAAATAACTTTTCAAACGAACAGTAACGAAGATACAGCGCTTCAAAGTCTGTAAAAATCGCTGTATATTCGTTACTGTTCGTTTGATTTGTACAAAATTTTCAGAGTATACTAACAAAAATACGGTCTATATCAGCATACTTTTTATTTAATTTAAAAAATTTTTCGAACGTTTTTTCATTATTAAATAAAACAGCTTTAAAAAAATTCTCTAAAAACCCTTGAACATGTAAACTGAGACATAAGTTGAAGTATTTTAATTTGAAAGTTTTTCACTATTAAATAAAAGGGCTTTAAAAATATTTTCTCGAAAAACCCTTGAACACGTAGAGATTAATTAAGGCGTTTTAGAGTTAGATTTTTTTTAAAGTTGTTACAATAACTATGGCCAATATTGTGTATATATATAAATATATAAAAGAAATTTCACCACTTTTAATTTTATTTAAAAAAAAAACGCGTCGATAGGTTTGGCTAAAACACTAAGCCAAAATCAATGATGTTATATTTATATTTTAAGAAAAAAAAATGTTAAATGTTTACGTACAATAATTGTAATGTGGATCTTAATACTCAAAAATCTCATAATAAAAAAGATTGTTTACTATTTTAGCTGTCATTTAAAAGAAAATTAAAAATCCTTTAGTTTGATATATAACACGGTATATTTTTGTCTAAAACAAACGAAATATAGCTAAAAATAACAATTTTGTAGAAGTCTAGGAGCTATTACTTGGATTTTGTTTTTTAGGTATATTTGTTGTTTTTTTAAGAAAAATGTTGGTTTTGATATTATATCATTTAAAAAAACAATTAATAAACTAGAACCTAAACATATATATATTTTTAAATTGCTTTTTTAAAAAGAAATTGTTTAGCACGACCACTACTGGGGGGGGGGGAACTGATTGATAAAGATTTTTTTTATTAAAAGAAACAAAATAAAAATTCTAACAAAAACAAAAAAACACAGCTAAAACAGTATCTGCTAAATCTTATTTAAATTTTTTTTTTCAAAAGTTTGATTTATGTTTCAATTGTCTCCAATTCCGTTTTCTTCATTAGATCCAATTTAAGTTACAACTCCTTTATTTCCATAAATGGGTAGTAAAAATATTATTTGTAGCAAAAATCAAGACTCCTGTTGTAAAAATCATGCTTAAAATTTGTATCCATGACTTCCAGGATTTCCAGGTTTAGTGGGAACCCTGTACTGTGCGAATTTGTCCTACCTTTTTTAAATTAATGCTACTGTGCGTTTTTTTTATTACTGTAAAACGACGCCAAGTTTTGGTGTACCCTGCCCGCAATTAAGAATAGTTTTTTAATAGTGAACTTACTGTTATATGTTCTAATTCCACTCCGTGCCAATTGATAACTTGCAAAAGTGACTCCATCATGCCGCAAGACACTAAAGCTTCACCTCCTGATTCATAGCTGGCGAGATGGTATAGAAACGAAAACAAAGCTGTCGCCAACGGTAAGGGAAACTTCGTTTCCAACGCGTTATAGAGTTGAGAGGTGATGGCAATATCTGAAACGTACTCCATAAGTTTAGCGGCTTCGGAAGTCTCCTCGGGCGTGCTCGTTTTCTCGGCTTCATCCGAAGCGGGCAACTCTTGCAGGCTCGCCTGCGATTCGTCTTGGTTCGTGAGGGTCGTTATGCAATTTCTCACCAAAACAGGCAAGAAACCGTGGTACTGACTGGCCCCGGTCACGTCTATAATGTTGTTCAACCTAGAACCGGGTCTCCTACTGAATAAAACAAACGAAAAAAATAAAAGCAACGACGCAACCAAAAATCCTCAACTTACTTTGGAATATTTGGACTTCTGTCCAAGTGAATGATGGCGGTCAAAGTGCGCAATGCGGCGGATCTGATTTCCACCAGATGGGGCTGTTGCAGCTCGACCAGCTCCACCAACTCCTCCAACAAACCGTTGTAGAGCAAGTTTGACGGGGATTCTTGAATGGCATTCGAATAAACAAGCACGGACAGTGCTTGCAAACGCGCCTGGACGCACAAAAGCCGGTTTCTGTAGTCGGCAAAATGATGGGCCAATCTGACATGAGTAAATAGCCACATCTACAAAGTTAAATAAAAGTGCTTATCATGATGTTTTTAAGAACCTTTTTGTTTTAGGTAAGTAGTAGGTAATACTGCTCCCAAGTGCTATTTTTAGGATTTTAGGACAAATCTTAGTAGAATTTAATGACATTTCAGACAAATTTTAAGATAAATTTAAAAACTTGCAAACGTTTTATTGATAAAAATTAATTATTCATTGGATAACAAAAAAAATCTACTTTTTAGAAAACTAAAATATGTTCATGTCATATCACTGTTTTGGATTTAATCACAGAGCTGTTCCTTTTCTTTAGTGCTTAGTTCTACTACAGTAAAGGCACTCTGTAGGTCCAATTGATTAATTGTGTCCTTTACAGTATTTAATAGTTTTCCGATATTCACATTTCCCTTTGAAATTATCTGGTCCAAATTGTTAATTTTGTTTTGATAGGAGTCAATTTGATCATCCAATTCGCTAATTTTGATCAAACAACCATAGAGTAGGCAACCCAGACTACAAACTGATGTTTTGTTGTTTTTATCATGACAAAATCATGTGACAGGTTGTTTATGGGGCAATTTTAAATAGTAACCAGAGCTGTCAAAGATACTTTTAAAAAGTATCTAGATACAAGATAAGTTACTTTTTGAAAAAGTATCCGAAGTTACTTTGGGTATCTAGTTACTCTTTAAAAAAAGGAACTTAAATACTTATCTTAAGTTACTTTTTAAGATACTTAATAAGATACTTTTTTAGTTACTTTGTATATTATGTAATAAGTTTCGTATAAACCGCCCAACAAAAATTCGTTCCAACCCCACCCTGATTTTTCAAATAATTTTAAGCTTACTTTTTTAACAATTTTTTTCAATAAAATCTAGTTGATTAAAACCATTGAAGGGTCTAATGCAAAAAATGTCTAACTTAGGCACTTTTAAAATATCTTAAAAATAAAAAGAGATAAAATCGTTCATTAAACACCACTTAATTATAAAAATAAAAAAATTATCTCACACTTTTCATTTAATCTTTTTTAACATTTTTTTTAAATTTAAAATAGAAAACATACATTGAACATTATAGAATGTACGGTACAATGTAACAACCAATATCCTACATCAGTACTTACCTAACCTAACTTATTTCAGACTTTCCACTATAAATTCAAGTCGCAACGAACGGAAACACCCTTCTAAAGAGCGGGTGGCGAAGTCACAGATTATAAAAGAAGTATAGGTGAATAAAAATTAAGTAGGTATAACAAAAATCGCCGCCAGTCGATTGGCGCCAGTCGCTGAAGTCGCCAGTATACTTATTATCACAATCCAAATACAATTGTGTGGATTGTGCTTATTATAATAACTTCGATGGCCGCGGCCGTTTCGAACAACTTGACTAAAGGAACTTTTTTGTGGTATCTTAGATACTTTTTGGTATCTAAGTTACTTTTTGGTATCTAAGATACTTTTCGGTATCTAAGATACTTTTTTAAGTTACAAGATACAGTTCCTTTTAAAAAGTATCTAAGATACTAGATACTTTTTGTTAAAAAAATAAAGGAACTAAGATACAGTAACTTAGATACTTTAAAGTAACTAAGTTACTCTAAAGTAACTAAGATACTTTTTTCTGACAGCTCTGATAGTAACAAAACAAAAAATGCCTAATGTATGACATTTCAGGACAAGACCAATTGTATAGGACATTTAGGACAGAATGCTGAATTTTAGTACTTTTAGGACATTTGAGAGCCCTGTGTATTGTATTTATTAAAAATCGCAATCGCGTTAGCGCTTTAAAATCGCTGTTATTAAAATTCAAACCAACATGTATTAAAAGTTGCGCATTGATCAAATTAGCGCATAATTAGCGCAAAAGCTTAATTGCGCATGCGTAGAATGTGCGCGCACAATAATAATTGTTTTATGTTAAATTGCAAAATGCTCTGTGCTCACAAATGAGCAAAAGCATGAGAAATCAGGGTGAGGTAAACTGAAAAAAATCTAAAAAAAAGTTCCTTCTATAATTTTTCTTTGTTAAATAGATTATAAATAAAAAAAATTTCGTTTTACCTTTCAAATAAATATTCATCATATTTATTAATATCAAAGTCAAATGTGAATCAGCTCCATTTTCAAAGTATTTAAAAAAATAGTGAGACAAAAAGATAAACAATGACAAATAAACTTTGTAATGCAAATTCTATTTTTTGAAAAATAAACATCTTAAACTTTGGTGTAAAATATTAGTCACACAAAAAACTGAATTCCACATTTGATAACAATTGCCTAATCATTCAATTAAAAAATGTTTCCCAATTTGTTGTAACAAAAAAATATAAATACTACATACCTCTTTTTCCCCCGGAACGTAATACATTGTAATGAGTGACTTCATTATTTCAGCTGGTGTCTTGTGTATTTTATCAACATGTTCAATATGGATTATATTTAAATTAGCCTTGTTTTTTGAGTCTTTTTTTCCATCACTTTCTTCCCTGTGAAATTCCACATGTAGAGTTGTGGCTGAAGCTGGAATGCCCTTTTCCGCATTACAGCAATCAGCCAAACCAAAACCATTCTCTTTACCACCCCAGTTCTATAAAACAAAAAGAAAATAAATTAATAAAAGATTTTAATTATATTTAAGCTTGTGTCTACCTCAGCAAGATGGTGTAGGCGTGATAAAAGGCATTCCTTCTCATCAGGTTTAAGCCTGGTAATAAAATTACTTCTCTTTGAAAACATGTACAGTAAATTTAAAACGCCCAAAACCACAGCCATATCATTGGACTCCAATAGCACTAGCAAGTGTTCCATGGAGTTGTATAAATGTCGAGAAAAGGAGTGTTCAATTAACAATGTGGTAAAGTGTAAAATCCATAGCAGCAGTTTTTTATCCTAAATAAACATATAATGTTAATAACAAAATTATAATTAACATATAATGTTAATAACAAAATTATATAGGTTATAACAAAATTATATAGGTTATAATACAAGATAACGTACTGTGCTGTTGTATTTGGTATCACAATCAAGCGCCCACTTATTTTCGTCAGAAAATTTGGCAGCATCTCCCAAAATTTTGTCAAACACATCAAGGACTTGAGCCCAGTGCAGCAATTCGCATTTGCCAAAGGTCCAGGTGTTGATTTTTGAGAGTTCCTCGAGCAACTCTGTTCTTGAACATGCTTGGAGTCGTTCAATGAGTTGCTGGCACTCTAATGGTACTTCTGAGGTGCTTTTACGCACCCTAGACTTATCAATTCTCATTTTGGTTGGTTTATACCATTATTTGATTAAGCGTTAAATGTGCTTAAGCTGAAATGTTGAAAATACAAATCAATAAGGCAAATAGGTTATATACCATGTTTACTGAATCTTTTGTTCAACTGAAATTGTTATAGTTCTAAATTGCATCTAACGCCGTGATAGTTAAGGCAATTAATGACAATCGTCGAATTCTTTAGCCGGGAAATAAAAATATCTGTATGTTGTTTTAATGCAGAAAAACGCACAAGAATATTTCGCTTAGTCACCTTTAATAAAATGCAGTGATGAAAACTGACAATGCTTTTCTTAGGTCTCAACAACCTATTTATTACTAACTTTGGCAGATAATACGTTTAATTACTTGTAAACATGAAATTTATCACTAAAATTATACAATTTTATACGTACGCTTAATCGGCCATATTGAAATACTGAACAGACAAAACAAAATGTTCACAACTGCTGACAATTATACTTTTCATGGGAATGTTAGTTTGTTTTATTCCATACACTCGTTTCTTTTATTAATACACCAGACTTTTTTACAGGCTTAAATTTATAAACAAAGTTCATTTGTTGTTCATCAATTTATTACCCCAAAATGACCGCACCAAAGTTAGGTTCTTGATTTTATATAACTAGGGACCCTAGATACAAAACTAAATCTCAAATTATCCTCTTAATTACTAGTTTATTACGAAAAACAGCACTTTTCACTAGAAAAATATAAATCAAACAATTTTCAACAATTTTAAAGACGTATCATACATAAAAAATCACTCAAAGAAGAAATAACTTTCAATTTTTTCACCAAACAGTGCTACCAACATAAAACATTCAACAAAGGAATCACACCAAATAAATATTACAAACGTTGAATATAAAGAAAAACAATAAAAATTTGTAAATTATAACATGAATATCCTTCTTAAATTACAAAAGTTCATTATTGTTTAATAAAAAATACTTTAAATTTGAATTTGGCGGACTTGACATTTGACAGAAGAGCGTGACGCGCAGGTCGGCGTCCACTAAAACAGATGGCGCTATTCTGCTGTCATTTTTTAGCAAAGCAAAACAGTGGGGTTTGTTATTGGCAGAGATTGGTTATTGAAGTCTCTAATTTAGAGATGCTGGATTTAGTTAAATAAAAACAACAATGAGTGCCGCACAATACACTAGAGACCACATAAAACTATCAGTAGGAAAAATATTACAGACGCTGGGATGGCATTCAATAAACTCCACTCCTCTGGAAGTTCTAACTGATGTTTTGGCCAGATTCCTATCACAACTCACTAAATTAACCAACGACTACGCAAATGAATGTAAATAAAGTTTTATGTTGATCATGGGTTAATTAACTTACAAGTGGTGATTTTTTTAGTTGGTCAAACTGACGCGAATTTGGATCATTTGGGTCTGGCGTTTCGAGAAATGGGGATAAGCATAGGAGAGTTAGAAGAATATGTCACTTACGTTAACTTCAGCCCCCCTCCAGCTTTAGTACCGAAATACCCAATTCCCAAGGAGAACAATTTGAACTTTCTTAAACCTGGCAGTAAAGAGGTTGTTACTAGGCCTGTACACATCCACGAGCACTTACCGCCTATGTACCCTTTGCTCGAAGGTTAGTTACATAATTATTATTTATATTTGTGTCTAGAAAGTCTTTTTAGGGGCTGAAAATGATGTGGAAAATGTGGAAGTCAAAAAGGAGGCCGGCGAAGAAACCACAGAAAATGGACAAGTTTTTAAAAAGCCTGCTGATGTTTCTCCCACTGAGTTTAAGAGGTCAAGGTACATATTAAACTATTTAAATATATATATTGAGTTTTCCTTATGACTAACAAATGAATTTTTTTGTGAAAAGTCTTTAAAATGAAATAAAGTTGTTCTAAATTTTATTTGATTTCACATTTAGAAGGTTGAAAGTACATTTTAAAGTGTAAAAAGAATTAATAATTAATAATAAAAAAACTCCCTTAATCATTTTTTAATTTAGATCAATTAAGATTTTTTATTATATTTAAAATTGTCCTTATATTTAAAATTGTCCTTATATCTGAAAATTTAATCTGCATCAAAAGAAAAACTTTAAAACACTAAATTTTATATAAATGTATTAAAACCTACCAATGTTAATATGCACTGTAACTGTCACGGAGGTAACTATGACAAAGTAAGAATTGGAATAATAATATGGCCCTACTCTGTGAGCAAGTCAGGTTATCTTAGTGCGCATGCGCCTTATTTTATATACTCTACTTATAGTGTGTTGTGATTAAAGAACCCTGTGAAGTTTTGAAATTATTTAATTTATTTAAAATGGCTGTAGGGTTATATTTTAGGGGCCATCCATAAATCTTGTGACGTCACGCCCGAGGGGGGAGGGTTTTTTAAAATATTTAATTCGTAGTTAATCGAATAAAATTGCTTTTTATTATTTTTTAGACTTCTTCTCTCACAAGGGAGGGGGTTAATTTTTACTATTTTTAGGGTTCTGAGATTAATTAATAGCTTCCTACAATCATAGTTTATATATTATTATTTTTACTTATTTTGCCTTATAAATTTTAAATTACAAACTGTCAAAATTCTTCTAGTATTACTTGGATAAGTTAGCAAGTTAAAAATCACATATAAGTTAAATTTATTAAAGCTGAATAACAATGACACATGGTTAAAAATTGTTTAGTAAAGGGTAATGTTTCAAGATATCAATTACGCCTTGACAACAATAACAATTCACATTGTAGATTATCAATAATTTTGAATTATAATTAAACAATATAATGGGGTTGGAACATGATGTGGAAATTCACTGTGAAACCACTTCTATTATTAAACTTCGTTCGTAAGTCTTGACACGACTGTTGCATCAATATAAAACCCTGTGTCGCAGATTCCAAATATGCAATAAAAAATTTCATGTCCCAAGCCCATTGTCAATATTTGTATGATTAACGGTTAAAAACGCGATTTTACATACATAGGCGGGAAGATGAGGGAAGTAGCCGGCCAACTCGCGAAATTAGCAGCGTCATGATGACCACTTCCGGCTTTCTGTCGCCGGCTAGAGAAGGCAAGTTGCCGGAAGCCAAGGCGCCCATACAGACTGTAATTGAGCCGGCATTGCCAAATCCAGCTCCTATAATACCGGCGGAAGTGGCGGAATTGCCAATGAAAAAAATTCCGAAAGTAAACAACAGAAAAGTGGACAGAAAGAAGGATAGAATCGGGAAGGAGTTGTTTAAGCCGTTTGTTGATGAGAAAGTTACCAGGAAATCGCCGAATATAACGAAGGAGAAAATTAAAAAAATCAAAAACTCGAATTTGGTGCCCAGTGATATGGGAATGGATAAAGTAATTCCAGTGAGCAGCGCTAAAGCGGCGAAAATTAATAAAACTTTGGCAGATGCCAGGATGAAAACGGAGAAATTAAATACCACAATAACGCCTATACCTATGAAGGCTGAGCCGGTACCAGCTGGAACTCCGCTTGGCATCGACAAAATCAACACCGAACCTGACAGAAAGAAGGTGAACATTTTCAAGAAAATATCGAATGTCAAAAACGAAAAGCACGACATTAAGAGTTTGAAAAAAGAGGAAGCGCGCTCCAGAGGCGGCTCTCCGAACTTGGTAATCGATGAACGCGAAGAGTTATCATCGAAAAACATACCGACCTTACCGGGCGACGTCACCATCGAACCGATACCCGCTAATTCGATGAAGAGTCCAGAAAAATTGGACTTTTTCGACGACGGCTCCCCACCGGGCACCCCCTCCACTCCGAAAACCCCAGAAATGATCTCGCACAGCCCGCCGCTCGTCAAGGAGAAGAGGAAGAGGAAGGAAGGCAAAAAAGTCAAAAAGGTAAGTCTACAGGGTGTTTGGAAAACGACGTTGTGTGAAATAACCGTTTTTTTAATTAAATATATTCATGGTAACTGAATTTATTTTTCAAAAATTCGTAAAGGCCTTAGTTTCCATAAATATATTTAGGTAAAAAATTAATACATTCAAAGCCGGTATTTAAGGGTTTCGCAAAAACGTATATTTTTAGTTTTATAGCTAAATATTATATTAAATAATTTTTTCACTGATTTTTATGAAAAAATATATGCTGCATAACAAATTACAATTACAACAATTTGGCGTTTTAGTAAATTGGATTTACCTGTGAATTGTCAATTAAATTAAATTTTCCAAACTCATTATATATTAGAAACATCCCTCACTACTATCTTTGAAATCTTTGAAAGTTGTCCTACAACTGTAGGATATACAGTATTTGCCATAATTATTTGCAACAACTGTAAAAAAATCTAACTCTAAAACGCCTTTATTAATCTTTATGAAATTTTGAATAAAAATATTTCAACTTATACATAATATTATCTCAGTTAACGTGTTTTTTCGAGAAAATATTTTTAAACCCCTTTTATTTAATAATTTTATAAAGATTAATAAAGGCGTTTTAGAGTTAGATTCTTTTACATTTGTTGCAATAATTATGGTGAATACTGTATGTTGGATATTACATTACAAGAAGTCCTAATAGTTAAAACAAGTCTCCCTTTTCCTTGTGCTCTTTAAAAATAATACCAGTAGAAAAAATCAAATGTGACATTTAGGTTCAGAAGCAGCATGATTGCAATAATTATGGTCAATACTGTATGTTGGATATTTCATTACAAGAAGTCCTAATAGTTAAAACAAGTCTCCCTTTTCCTTGTTCTCTTTAAAAATAATACCAGTAGAAAAAATTATATGTGACATTTAGGTTCAGAAGCAGCATGATGATCAATTTATGGACCTGGAACGACCAAAAACGCCGGAAGCGGAAATATTAAGGGGGCTGCCTTTTCCATTTATACCAATATTGGGAGGTATTCACTCATTATGTAATGTATTAAATTTTTATTTTTATGTGGATTGGGTCCTTTAACCAGCACAATGTTTCAATGCAACACTGCCTTTAACACAAATGCCTATAATAATGCTTCAATATAATCCACAATAAATATAAAAAAATCTTTAAAAATCTGTATTTACTAGTGATGATCTGACGAAAACAGCGATTTTTAAGATTATCGCTGTTTCGCTCACCACTGGTATTTACCCAATATATTTCATGATAAATATTTTCAGGGCCAGGTTTGATCCCCAATCCAATGAATAATATGAACCCTCTCTTCCCATTCCCGCAGCTGCACAATTTCGGAAAGAATCCCTTATTTCCTAACCCGTACGGTTTACCCTCGATGATGAATAACCCCGTGCCGCCCCCCTCCAATCATCCGCCCGCCAAAATCGAGGAACCCGTTGCTAAGCAACCGAAGCTAGAGCCTGTTGCGCAGGCGCCGCCTCAGGAAATCACCGAAGTAATATCCGTTGACCCCAATGTCGATGTAAAATTGGAGAAAAAGGGCAAGGAGCACAAAAAAGAGAAGAAAGATAAGATTAAGAAGAAGAACAAGAAGGATAAAGTTAAAGATAAGGCAGAGAAGAAGAAGTTGAAAGAGGAGAAGAAGGTGAAGGAGAAAATCAAGAAGGAGAAAAAAGAGAAGAAGAAGGATAAGGAGGTTAGGGAAGGTGAAAGTCCTGTGCCAAAGTTGTTCCTTAAGTTGGGTTCCCAATCGCCAAGACCGGAGACTCCAGAAACCACGAGGAAATTGTAAGTAGGTACAAGCAATAAAATAAACTTACTTAATATTTTTCTCTCAGAAATATTAAACCAATCGTCAAGAAGGACGAGGAGGCTGTTCCCGAAGAAAGGGCGACTTCTCCAGGTTTGGCGAAAATATCCGCACTGGTTACAGGCCCTCCAAAACCTAAAACAACACAACCAGCCCCGGCTCCGTCCCTCCCGTCAAGTAAGTTAGCATGTTTAATTGGTATAAAAATCCAAAATTTTATTTTTATTTATATAGGTGTAGAATATATTTTTATTTATTAATATTATGTGTAGAATAGTATTTTATTTTGATAGTAAGCATCTATGCCACATAGCACGTCTTTTAACTAGTGCAGTTTTTTATTATTTAAAAACCACGCCGATACCGGTGTAGTAAAGTACAATGTTTTTGCCCAACAGCTTATAATGACATGTATCCCAGTCCCGAGAAGAAAAACATTTTTAAACCTATACCTAAACTAAGAACAAAAGATTTGAAACCCGTTTCTCCTGAGCCGCCACCGGTTGTAAACCAATTAACTCCGGCTATGTATGTTGTAAGTAAAATTCTCCCCATAAACTTACAAAATCTCCAATCAACGAAAATATAAAAGTATGCTTTTCGGACTTAATTCACATATACATTCGCCCCTTATTCCTATCCTGTCATTGTCATTTTTATCACGGCATGGGTTCCGAGCTTTGGGATGGTTTTGGCTTTTTATTTGTTTCAGTGAAAACATTGGTAAGTTTCTCTGGCATGATGTTTTATTTCATATGTGGTGTAGATTTTAGGATTAGGGACTCATTTTTAGTTTTGTTTTTCTAAATTTTGATTCGTTTGGTGACTATGATGAGTTTTTGAAACAGCTGACCCAATAGTACCTGAAGAAAGTCAAAATCCTGTGGTGCCTGTGCCTAAAGTAAGTCCAGGTCCTGGCAGGCCCAGGCTGAATCCGCTGAAACCGAAAACATCGCCTGCTAAGCCCAAAAAAAGGCGCTCTTCAGTGAAGAAAACCGTAAGTATATTTCATGACACATTGCCTAAAACTACAATATGCTTGACCTTATTTTTGACAGCAACCATTTTTGTATAATTTTTTATCATTAATCATTTGGTATGGTTTGGGTTTGAGCTTTGCTTTATCATTCAGAACTAATATATCATAAACTACTAATTTTATTTTATACAATAGTCAGCAACTGTTCATGTTGGACAAAAGTGTTGGAAGAAGGTAAGATTTCCAAATTGTTGGCTATTGCAATAATCTTAATAGTTATTAAATAATAAACCATACTTTTATATTTTTGTTAACAAAATTTAACAAAAATTTAAATTCGCGATTTTTTAACAAAATTAGGATGCGCAGGGTAATCAAGTGTGGATATGCCCTGCTTGTAACAAACAAGACGATGGCAGTCCTATGATTGGATGCGATGGCTGTGATGCCTGGTACCATTGGTAAGTCCAAAAAATAAAAACAAATCTATGCTCATACATTTTATTTAAGGGTTTGCGTAAGAATTCAAGTCCCCCCAGATGAAAATGAAAATTGGTACTGCAAACATTGTCTGCCTAAAAATAATGAAGATTTAGGCGCAGACAAAAAGAAAAAACGAAAGAAAAAAGAAAAGAAAGAACATTAAAAATTTTACAGGGTTTTACCTAAATATATATAATTATTTATTATATGATTTTTACCATTGTTATTCAACAATTTTATTCATTATTATATAATCAAAGTATAAATAAAATAATTTGTTTTACATTTTTATGTCTTTTATTAAATTTAACTAAACAAAAAATTCCTTACGATTTTTGATTACAATGAAAACAGTCGAGATATATATGCCAATAAATGGTTCTAGGTTCGTTTTTTTTATTTGATGTCGAATTATAAAGTGAACCTAATCCGGTCCTGATTTAGATAGTAGTAGTATCATTGATCTGTTCAGTAGTAACATTTTGGTCGGCATCTTCTGTACTTTCACTTTCCGAGGAGACGGTTGTTGCTTCCGAACTCTCCGTTGTCGATGACACGCTCGTTTCAGTCGTCGAAATCGATTCTGTGGCTTCCTTCACTCGCTCTGTGGTGGTGGTACTTGGATTTAGAGGAATCGTACTTGCTGGATATCCAGGTGCGGAAAAATCGGCGGTGAAATAATTGATCCCATTTCCGAGGAGATTTGGATGGTTCAAGAAGGATTTAATCATCGCGAACGAGTCTGTTGGGTTTGCAATACTCTTTCCAATACGACCTAAAAATATATGTTGCATTAAGTGTACCTACCTGACATATTTAAATCATACAAACCTGTTGCGTTATCCAAATTTTCTTTGTTCTGTGGATCCAAACTATCAGATGCTACAGTAACACTCGTCTTGGTGTTAGTGTTGCTGTTCAATCTTTGAGGTCCATTAAAGAATACAACAGTGGATGTAGCCCCATCATCGAAATTAGTGTGATAACCAAAACCTCTAAAATTCTCCGGTACAACCCCAATAGGACTTTTTGGGCTCAAATCTTCATAAGTTCTGCTCTGCACTTGAGGGATGCTTTTTTGTATATGAGGGTTGTTATATGGAAGGGGTTGTTGGTAAAACACAGGGGGTTGAAATAATTGGGGTAGGGGGTTATAGAATTGCGGTGCTTGGTAAAAATAAGGCTGTTGCACTACATGGGGGATGTAATATTGCCCGTTTGTTCCGGCTAATAGAAAAACCTAAAAATTATAATCTATTATACCAATTATGGAAATACACATATTTAAATAAAGACTACACCCAAATTTCTTTGTATGTATGGATATGGCCGTGACATTTTAAAAATGTCAACAATACAAGATTTACAAGTTGTATGGTAAATTGGAGCAATTAAGCTTTCTTTTAAATTTAATGGGATTTTTATTTAAAAAAAAACTAGTCAATCTTCAAAAAATAGCTTTGCAAGGTTTTCCTCGCGGTCAAAATAATTACAGGGTTAATATACTCCTACTAATTAATTTTATTCAATTAATTGATGCATTAAATATTTTAAGGAGTTTCTTTGATTTGCATAATTAATTATGCATTTATAAGAAATAGTTGTAGGTTTAGTCAAATTTAAATTTCCTGTATTTTAAAAAAGTTGTTTCTGCAGCTTTTATTGATAAAAATATATTTATTTATATTAACTATTATAAATTAACCCTTTTTTAATTAAATTACAAATAAAAATATTTTATCGTCAATCGGTCCATAATTTAAACGTTATTGTTGTCAAGAGTCTTTACTAAAGTGATTGATTATAACCTAGGCACTTAAAAATGATTTAGACCAATTGGGTTAAGTTTTTTACAGTCTGGGTCCTAGGGAGTAAAATTGTATTATTTACTACTTTGAACTAATCAAAAAATCAACTTCTGTCAGATCTACTTAACCTTACTTTTAACTTTTAATAAATATTATTTGTATATTGTTAAATAAAATGAAAACTTTATTTTTCCTAAATACAAAATATTTGTCTTAAAAAAATGATATTTGTACACATAAACTACAAAATATGTACTTTTCCAGATTTTAAAATTAAAAATATATCTCGAATTCTAGTCTAATTAATCAAAAAGTTTATTGTCTTGAATGAAATGAAAAATACTTTTGCACGCAAAATCATATAGAATATAATTATTATAATAATTAAAAAATTTCCATATGCATATTAATTCCAAATTTTTATTAGGATTTTTTAATTTTTGAATAATAATATATTTTTGAATAAATTGCAAAACTTTTTAAATTGAACTATAATTTATAAAAGTGCGTTTTTAGTTTTTTATACCTACTATTAAAAGAAATATGATTTTCAATAAAAATCGACTTTTTTTGTTAAATTAAAATTTAATTAAATAAAAAGTACAAAAGCAGTATTTTTATGATTTGATTAAATTTATTCTAAAATATATTTTCAACAAAATAAAACGGTATTTTCGTTTAGGTATAAAAATTAAATTAATAAAAAATCATTATAAAAGCGCGCGCCTCTTCAAATATAACTTGGTACCTACTTACTATTGTAACAAACTTAATCATTTTCGATATAATTTCCAAAAAATGTAACCACCGAAACGCCACCAGAATCACAATGACTTTATACTTAAACAATTTTTCGAATTATATGAACCAGTTAGGTACGCGGGAAAACTGGTTAATATTTAGGTACAGTTGCCAAATTTATAGCATTATGCTCGATCTCGCCCATAACTGACCCTCAAAATCTTACTCACTTTTACATTAAGATTAAGATAGTCTTTAAGTAATTACTTCATTTGCCCAAACAAGAGCAAGCCCTTTTAAAAAAGAATAAAACAAACATTATGAAATTTTATTTAGACAAATCTTTGAATTTTTTTCAGGTAAAAACGTTTTTATTAAAAATTAAAAAGAAGGCAAATTTACTTCTCGTTTATAATTATATTCTTTTTCTATGGTTACCTACCTATTATTATTTAATTCATCACTAATCAAAATTTTGTTGGGCCAACCCTCCTAATTTTAACTGTACATCTTTGATAATACATTAAAATTAGGTACTTAAAACATAAAACTTAAAATTACCTACTTAAAACTTAAAATTACTTAAATTAAGGGTTTTTGCAATTTCATAAAGTGATAATTATTACATTAATGTAATTATGGATTACATCCAAAAACGTATTTTTGGAATAAAAATAAATTTATTAAAAATGCAAATTAAGACGTATCGAAAAATTTATTTTACTATAGTGACTATGATTTAAAGTAATAACAATAAAATAATAATAAAGTAATAATAATAATAAAATATTGATTATGGGCGTATGCCTACACGAAATTTGACATTTGTAATTAAAATTTTGATCCGGTTTTCAATAATTTGCTCTGATTGTTCTATGAAACAAGTTTAGAAATAATTTCATCTAAATGTCATCTTACTTATGTAAATTCCTCACAAGGTTTTCGTTAAGTAGGTAGGTACTAATAAGTACCAATCCAGTTAATTATTGATAAATGATTTAAAATCCTTCACAAACAAACGTTATTTTTATTCATAACTATTTTTTGAGCATTTTTTTTTAATTTTGTGAGCTGCTATGGTATGTTTTATCAAAAAACATACCAGTTGGTAACATACGTCTTGGTTTAGTATTTTTAGACCCCTAACCTCATGGAAAAATAAGACAAAATATTTAAAAGAATATTAAAAACAAATAATATTAAATAAATGACTGCTGCATTTATGTTAAAAATAAATAAATTTTCTATCAATTTATTGCAAAATGCAAAAACAGATAAAATAAATGTTATGTTGGTTGCATAGCGAGCATTTTAGGGTGTTTGTGGCTTCGCTGGTAAGAAGGTAAACAAGGAAACTGCAATTCCCACTGTTGTAGAAAAACAAGATGGTGGTTACAATCGCACTTTGACGTTTTAAAAGTATGTTTTTAAATCGAAACCAGTGTTATTCTTGAGTTAACCAAAGTAATAATAAACAATGATAGTTTTTAATTAAGTTTAAATGGTGAGTTTATAAAGTTTAGTGTTTTATACGTGCCCGAACGGTGTTTTCTAAGTTGTTTATTGGGTCACTCAATCTTATGAATGATCTATTTTGAAGTATTTTTGCAATAAAAGCCCATTTAGTAAAACAACAATCAAAAGGTAATAAAATAGGAAAATTTAAAGTATAGTTAGTCCATTGTTCTTTTTAAAATGTTTAAAATCGCCCTTAAAAATTTAATAAATATACCAAAGTAGGAAAGCGATTTATTATCAAATTTGTAGTAGGTACAGGAAGAAATTAAGCTATTATTATTGTATTAGATAATTAATATTGTTGGTGAATTTGTAAAAAAAATACGATCGTTTTAATTTTAGAAATGTGGTAAAATATAATCCCAAATAAAAAAGTGATGACAAGCCAAAATACGCAGGTTCGTTAATTATCTTTTTATTTTTGCATGTGTTTTATATTTCCTTCTATGGGTTTATTTTCGTTTTAAGCATGCGTCTTTTTTTCTTGTGTATTTTAGCCTTTACCTATGTAACTTTTTTCTTCCTCCGATTTTTAATTTATTCCAAAATATAATCTTTAGAAATTGAAATGCATTTTGTGGTAAAACCAAAAGTTTCACCTAGGTGAAAAAACAAGTAATTTATTAAAATTTCCTATAAGAGTCTAGCACAACATAATCAATGCGATTTTTTTTTGTATATGTAAATGATAGCTTGTCTGGGAATAAAATTAACATGAGAGTAAAAATAACTTTCAAGTGCATATTAATGATTTATGAAAATGTTTCTTTAATTTAATTTGACATAATTTTTCGGCTTAGAAAGTCTATAACTGGTTTAATAAATTATAATTACCAATTCATTTAAATATTTCTAAATTGCCGGTACTGACTAGGGGCCGTCCATAAATCTCGTGACGCTAAAAGTTGACCCCCTCCCCCGCCTTTGTGACAGAAGGTGATGATCTAAAGACCAGGGTTCAATATTTTTTCAAATCTTTGTAAGCAATTTTATTCGGTTAACTTTGTCACGTGACGTTTTAAAAACCTTCCCCCCTCGGGGGGGACAAATCGTGACGGTGCTTTAAACCCTCCAGCGTCACGAGATTCACGGACGGTAATATTTTGGAATAACTTCTTTTGCATGAAAAAAAAAATCAATTAAGGGTTGTTTTTCAAAATTTTGTGGTTGCAGAGGTATCAACCTTATAATCAAAATCAATATCGCCAAACTGATGGTCAGTGGGATAGTAGTACTCCAACAACGCCCCCTAACCCCCCAATTGTACCCGCCAGGGGAATTAAAAGATTCACCACTAATGAAGTAACCCGGCCATATGCAGATTCATCTCCCTGGGTAAGACAAAATTTTGCATGAAGATTTAAGTTTAAAATAATTACACTTTGCTTTTGAGTTATTAGATTTATTTTTTTAAAAAATTGGGAAAGGCATAATTGCAGAAAAAGTTTTCATAAATCCTAATTTTATTTAAAAAAATAAAAAATATATCTGTTAATTTTAAATTTATTAAGTTATACTTTATGTTTATACCAACTTGTTTTGAAAGTAGAGTACATCAAAATATTTTACAATTTAAAATACGCATCAGCTGTTTAAATGACTAATAATACCATTTAGGATATGGACATTTGTTGCCAAATAAACACGTGACATAAGTGGGTAGAAAATAAAATAGTAGTAGGTTTAAAACGCTAAACATTATTTTATTTAATGCGAAAAGGAAGTTTATTTATCTTTTTAACTAATTATGACTGATTTATCACAAAAAAGCTAATGAATAATAATACCACATAATGCGGTGTTTATCAATAATGTTTCCTAATTCTATTTATAAAATAATAATAAACGTTAGATTAAATAACATTTAATAAGATGTATAAACGTTTTAAAATACTAATGTCATAATCATAAAAATGTTGCATTAAAAAAAATACAGGCGCAACCTTGAGCATAAAATAATGATTGCTATTTTAGCATAAACTTTACTCTGGCTCATACGTAAACAGGAAACTTATTAAAAAATTACACTCTGTAATTAAAAGTACGAATTACAGTTAGCAGAGCCACTGATTTAATATAAAAATCTTATTTAACACTACCCAAACAAATTATATTTATAAATATAACTGCTTGAAAAAACCAAAATAGTATATCAAGTTTTATAAACGCCAATTTTGTTACGAGTGTTTAATAAAAACGAGTGTCTAGAGAAGTTTATAAAACGAGTTGCATACTATACTTAATCTACGACGAACATAAATAAGAATTTAAAGCCAATTTTATTTGTTAAACATTTGACATCTGTCAAGTGTCAATTAATAATAAAGCTAACTTCAGCTCGTGTCTAAAATGCTCAAAATCCACTGTTGCTAACTTCAGCCTGTAACTAAAACGCCATAAAGTCACAGCTTATCAATGGTGGAGTTTAATAAACGCCATTTTAGTCACTAATTTAATTTGGGCACGAGCGAGCTTGCCAGCGAGTGCTTAATTAAATGAGTGCCTAGAAAAGTTTATAAACGACTTGCATACTATAATTTTTCTAAGACAAATACTTAATATTATCTAAAAAATGATTTTAATTAATTGTAAAGTGTCATTTAAACAGGAAAACCGTTGTTCATAAAAAAAGTCTAATTTTACAAAAAATGCTGGAGTTCATTCTACTTTACATCATAAGTGTTCCCAACTTTGTATATCAGGTGGGGGCATAGTTTTGGGGGTTTGAATCCCGCTTGAAATTTAAGAAACAGTTGTGTTTTAAGATTTTTTTAGAAATTCTAATAAGGTCATGCTTTTTAGTTTCATTTTACTTTTAAATTTTACCAACACAACCTCCCGAAATTTATTTCTGCATACGCGCCTGATTGACGAGTCTAAACGCATTTTTTTCGAACTTTTTCTTCATTAAATTTCAGATGGCACCTCCCGAGTTACCTCAGCAAATGGACAACAACACCCAGCTCGAGTGCAACTCCCGACTGCGAACGCAAAATAATATGAATGTAAGCCAAACAGGCGAAAATTTCAGAAATAACGATCACGACGTAAACGTGAATTGTGTGAGTCCCCTACGTAGCTCGAAATCACCGTAAGTAACGATAATTTTCCAAAAAATGTTGTTATCTAATTTTCTTTTACACACAACAGTTGGTTTCACGGTAAAATATCGCGAGACGACGCCGAAAATCTCCTACAACCAAAAACAGACGGTCTGTTCCTTATAAGGGAGTCGACAAACTTTCCCGGCGACTATACGCTATGCGTTTGCTTCCAAAACAAAGTCGAACATTATCGTGTCAAAAGACAAGCCTGCGAGATCACCATAGATGACGAGGAATTCTTCACCAACCTCGAAGACCTCATCGATCACTACAAAAACGACGCGGACGGCCTGTGCACCAAACTCGTCAAACCCCTCACCAACGACATCATCTCCAACGACGACCTTTGTATCATACCTGAAAAAGAACTCGAAGTAGGTGTTAATTCGCGAAATCTGCTTTCTTATATTTGCGACTTAACTTTCCATACTAAAACATATTTTTTTTATAAAAAGTAAAGTATCAAATATTAAGAAACTGATAAACAAATATTAGAAATATTCCCCAACACCAAAACAAAACACAAAGTGCTGAAAGTAGTTTTCGCCAACCATGTTGGCATCTTCAGAAGCGAAGTGTAACTGATAGTATAGCGATCCTGGTCACGGCACCAATTGAAGAAAATATTTATATCTTGTTAACATTCTTAAGAGAGTTGTAGCTAGCTTTTTGACATTCTTAAGACTGGTATATTTTGCTTAAATTAACATTCTTGAGACAGTTTTAAGACAGTTATAGCTATCTGGTTAACATTCTTAAGAGAGTTGTAGCTAGCTTTTGAAGATGCCAACATCGTTGGCGAAAAGTACTTTCAGCACTTTGTGTTTTGTTTTGGTGTTGGGGAATATTTCTAACATTTGTTTAACAGATCAGCAAAGTTGTCCGTTTCCAAGTATCAAGAAACTGGTCAAAAAGTCCTTGATATTTTTTAGATATGCGAGCCAATAGGTAAAGGGGAGTTCTGCGAAGTGAAATTGGGTCTTTGGAAGAAAAATAGAGTCGCAGTCAAAGTTCTAAAGGACTCTAGCGAAGCCGAAGCAATTCTTATGAAGTAATGCTCATTTACCCTTGAAACGACACACTAGCTAAATTTCGAATTTCAGGTCCTTGCACCACGAAAATCTAGTGAACCTTCTCGGCATAGTGCGGAAAAAAGACCAAATATACCTGGTGACGGAGTTCATGAGTAAAGGCAGTTTGGTGGACTACTTGAGGTCCAGGGGAAGGCAACACGTCACGAAGAAAGACCAAATTAATTTTGCGTACGATACTAGCTCTGGTATGGAGTATTTGGAGCAAATGCACGTGGTGCACAGGGATTTGGCCGCCAGAAATGTTTTGATTGCGGAAAATGGCAGGGCCAAAGTATCGGATTTCGGGCTCGCAAGAAAGGAGAAAAATGCTACGTCTGAATCTGCCAAACTTCCAATAAAATGGACTGCACCAGAAGCGCTCAAACAAAATGTACGAAAGCAATTTTTGAATTTTGCAGAAATAATGATTTTGTTTTTTGCAGAAATTTTCCAGTAAGTCAGATATGTGGAGTTTCGGGATACTCTTGTGGGAAATATACTCATTTGGTAGAGTTCCTTATCCAAGAATAGTAAGTTGGGGTTTCACTCATAATTAAAACATATTTAATACTTTATTTTTAGCCCTTAGCTGATGTGGTGAAGCATGTTGAAAAGGGGTATAAAATGGAGGCCCCTGAAGGGTGCCCATCAGAGGTCTATGAAATAATGAGACAAGTAAGTTTTTAATTAGCACGTAAATATTTTCTTTATTTGATTGTTCTTTTTAGGCGTGGGATTTGGACCCTAATAAGAGGCCCTATTTCCGCGAGGTAAAAAGTAAACTCTATCAATTAATGACAAAACAACAACCTGACAATTAGTGTTAATGTACATACATCTATGTATTATATACAGGAATGCACATGTATTGATGTGATATTCATTGAACTTCATGTATTTTCAAACTTTTTTAATGTATATCTAAAACAACAACTGTTTAATGCCAAATGATCTTTCAAAGCATTTGAACTTGCTCAAGCCATTTTTTTAATGTTTATATACGCTTTAGTTGTTTTTGGTAATGTATTGCCATACAGATAGGATTAAAATCTTCCACAATTTACACTTTTTTTAGATATATGTTAAAGGGAAAGTTGATAAGTAAATTTTCATCTGACGTTCTTAATCACCATAATTTTAGGGAATAACTGCAAAAACCACCACTTGTTTATGTGGCATTTCTAAAAAATAACGAAATATTTGTGGTGTGGTTTAATTTTGTAATACCTTACCGTACTTTTTGTAAAATTTTTATTTATTTGTTTTTTATTTATTGTACTTAAAAAGTTAAAATTCATTTCACAGTGTGAAGAATATAGTTTTATTTAACGTCCAAAACATGGAAATTGTATTATTATAGTTTATTGTAATTAATATTATGTATATTTTTATCTTTTAGAATATAAAATAAACATTTTCTTGTAACTATCGCATTTTATTCTATAGGGGGTTCCATATTACCACCTTCTCTGCCAATAAAACACCAAAAAGTAACCAATTTTACTTTAATATAATTTCAATAAATTAGAAAGAAATGATCTGTTTCTGGAATACAATAGTGCTAAAAATTGTGCTTCGGTAATGGCCCTTGGGTTTTTCCACAGCTTGTATCTTGTCCTTGATATCCGCCCTTGGAATATCACCCCTGAAATTCAACAATCTAAGCAAGTGATCTTCAGATATATCCGGATATTGTTCGACGGCTCTATGCAGCTCAAAGGAGACCATATCGCCGTCACTACTTATAATCTCGCACAACATAAAAATACATTTGAAAGGATTATCCTTTTCATCGGTAATTTTACACAAATTGACAAACAACTGCGACAACTTGTTGGTTTCATGCTTTATTTTATCGGCCACCCTCCTACACTCCTCAAAAGTCTTGACGGTCAAGCGTTTTGATAGCAAACAAGTCAAATATCTTTTCGCAACTGTATTCTTCGCTGTTTCAGCTATGTACTTGTAATTTTCGTCGACTAAATGTTGGTAATCCTTGAAATAATCCACCAGCGTCAAATGTATGGTATCTATGGCGGCGTCTTGAGTTTTCAGCCAGTTTGGCGTGAATAATTCGTTGTAATACTCCTCCAGATCAGTAGACACTTCTTGTAGAAGATACGCACACGATTCATTACGCAGATCCTGTAAAAATAAATTTGTTATACACATATATACTTAGTACTTTATGTACATGTCCACAAGCTAGCTATATAAATATTTTCTCCAATTGGTGCCGTGACCAGGATCGCTAAACTTCACATTAAAACTGTTTAAGAATGTTTATTTAAGCTAAATATACCTGTCTTAAGAATGTCAACAAGATAGCTATAACTGTCTTAACCTTGTAGTAGTGGCGCCTTATATTTAACATTGGTGGTGGCGCCCGGCCTGTCAGGCCCGTAAATTAAAAAAAATCATATTTTAGCTAGTATTTTTTCTTTGTAATTTTTTTTACTTTTAATTTATTACTTAATCCTATTGTGACCAAGGTCACTGATTTTTTTAACAAAAAAACCTCATATGTTTGAAATATGGGGTTAATTGTATGGGGACAGGATTATAAGATGACATAATATTATTTCACAAAAAAACTAAATAAAAAATTTATTCTACCAAAAAAACAACAAATGTTTATAAGCTTGAATAACAAAATATCGTATTAAACGTGGTTTTGATTTTTTTCCACACATTATGACACATAATTTTGGCATGGGTCATGCATAGAAATTTTTTGGAATGAATTGTGTGGTCCTTCTGTCTATGCGATATTCTGCACACCTTTTTCTGGTCCCAGGGGGAATTAGTTGAGGTTCAACATTATCGGCAGAAGTCCCAGCTACTTCTTGTCGCCTTTAACGTACCTCAGTTGGTAAATTTTGTTCCATAGAACGGCGTTTCAAATGCTTCTACTAGGACATAGCGCCATTCTTCAAGAGCCTTCGCATTAATAATTTGAATTATTAGCAGTGTGTATTACTTGGGCATTTATTCTAGCCACATTCATTAGCCCATAAAATATGACCATATTTGATAGAATAAAGTATAAAAATATGCCAAATAATTAATATACAACAAAATAGTCGTATAACATAAATGGTGGCGCCCGGCCTTTCAGGCCGTTTTAGGTTATAACTTTTTAAGTTAAAACTGTAAGAAAATAAACATTGCACTACACCTTTCTACCTAAAAAGTTAGGAAGGTACTGAAAAATACAGAGTTGTCTCTTAATTATTTTCATAATGATCCGCTAAATAAGATCGCTTGGGCCTGTTAGGCCGTGCGCCACCAGTAAAAGGTTAAAACTGTCTCAAGAATGTTAATTTAAGAAAAATATACCAGTCTTAAGAATGTCAAAAAACTAGCTACTACTCTCTTAAGAATGTTAACAAGATAGCTATATTAATATTTTCTCCAATTGGTGCCGTGACCAGGATCGCTATACTTAACATTGCGCTTTTTGGTAAACCCTTAATATAAATAATGGATGAAGGATATGAGGTAAATAATTATATAAAGTACCTACTTACCAAAAAGTGCCTCTCCATGCTGCGTATCTTTTCTGGTACATCTGTGATATCGAGGTTTTCAGAATAATGCTTCTCCAACTCTGAGCCTAATTTTATAAATTGGTGACAGTTGTTTATTATTAAGATCATGTTCTGCGTGAAATATGGAACTTGTTTTCTATCAGCAAAATACCGATTTTTGAAGTCTATAATACTTGTCTTGTATGATTCGCTGAATTTTATTAAATGGTCAATGCTGAGACTTAACACGCTTAAAGTTAATTCAACTCTCATAGTTTTTGTGACTTGTAAATTTTGATCTATCATTTGGAATATTATTAGGGGCGCTGGTTGCCTGGAATAAGAGTCCAGATTTAACTCTTCAACTGAACTCCATTCGTTCATTTCTGACGTTAGGGTATTTTGCATCCATTCGCCATAATTTCGATCAATATTCTACAATAAAAAACGTTATTTTTATATGATGTACAATGTATTATTAGCCGTTTTCTCTTTTTAAAATTTGGCCTTCAAAATGTAAAATGCGCATGACAAATTTTGAAACGTGCATGCGCAAAACACCTAACAACACAGACCCACAAAAATACGTGTTCCATGTATTTTCGCTCGCTGAAACTGAATCTGAACTCAATTTAACCTCCACACGTTCAGATTTTTTTCTACAGTTTTTGAACTCGTTGTTTTGTGTGGGCCTGCGTAAAATTACCGTTAAATAATCCTTTTCCAATCTGTCTACAACAGCCTTGGGCAGTAGGGGTCCTAGATTTTTCGTATCTTCACTTAAATCAGGGTGACCCAACAAATCTCTCGATTTGTATGTTTGGTTAATCCATGATAAAATGGTTACATACTCATTACCTTCCAAACCATTCTGTATTATTTCTTGTAGCTAAAATAATTTTAATCACTTATAAGTAACATACAAAAAAAATTCTTACATGTCTAGACAAGGAATTATGATACATATCAATATATTTCTTCATTATTTCGTATTCAGGTGGAAAGCAAGGCACACATAAATGTTTGACCACTCTTAAATCCTCCACAATAAGTAGTCTGATTAATTCTAAATATCTTATAAGCCAAAGTTTATTGTCATCTCTCTCATCAACTTGTGTACCTTCAATTCTTGTAGCAACTGATTTTTCCAGTATTTCAAACAGCATTTTCTTCCATTTCTTGGGCCTGCCAGGCGAAATAAACCCCGTTTGTTTTTCGCGTTTGACAGAGTCCTGATCGAATTCCTCCTCCCTTTTTATTATTCTTAGTACAGTAACTATAATACTTGGATCCTTACGAACTGTGTTTAATGTTCTTGATAATATAATACGCATTTGCTTTTCCAGAAGCTGAGATAGCACTTCCACTTCAGAAAAGTACGCTTTAAGCATAGATTTATCGTGCACTGATTGGTTTGGGAGTTTATGTAACTCAAATAATAAGTCATCACGAGAAGTCTCCAGATCCCTTAAACTTTGATGTGTATGCAACAATTTAGCCTCATTTATCCACTGCTTCGTTTTCTCTACACTTGCAGGCATTGTGAATATGTGCTTGTGATTCTCTATTGCTGTAACATATTGAGAATGCCTCATATTTTCATCTCTAACCTCGTTTAAACTGTTATAAAGTACTGGAACGACGTCAAATAGTTTGTTTAACCCTTGCACACTCCCGTTTATTTCTTTTACCGTTTCTGAACATTTTTTTAGCATTGTTAACGCTTTTCTCACACCATCGATTTGCTTTTGCGAAGCTGACTTTGAGAGAGCTTCAAAAGAAGCCTTCTGTCGAGCTACTCTTCTCTTGTACTGTTCTATTTTTTCTATTTGACCAGGTCTTTGGAACATTGTTATCACCTGCCTAGTGGCCTTTTCCTTTGCAGAGGCCTCTGCTTCCTTCATATTAAGTTTTTCTAAAAGAAAACATATCAAAACACCCCCTTTTTTAGTTTTATTACCTACTTACTTTCAGCCATAGTGGTGCCTTTATTTACCTTTAGGTGGGTTGTAAATGTGTATGATAACTTATTTACATTATTTTTTTAGAGGTTTAGCATAGAAAAACCTATAATTTATTTGATGACATCATAACCATAGAAAATAACCAAAACACGCCTTAATTTAGGCAACTGTGTACTGAAAGTATAATGGGTTGCCTATAATGGATGAATATTTATTTTTTTAAATTAAAATTTAATTAATCATTAAATGTAATAATTCTTTTAAATAAGTTTAAATTTATATGTTTATCGTTACAAAAATTAGATTATTATAATAATTAAGCAAATATATGTATTTGAGAATTTTATGGGACCAATAAATGGTAAAGAATTTTTTATGTAAATAAACCTACGAATATAGGATTTTTTAGTCAAAAACATTGATATGGTGTTTTATATTGCCCCATGGAAAATATAATTTAAATTTAAATTATATTTTCCATGGGGCAATATAAAACACCATATCAATGTTTTTGACTAAAAAATCCTATATTCGTAGGTTTATTTACATAAAAAATTCTTTTGGACTGGGGTTTATGAATGCCCAATAAATATGTTAAGTGGGATGTTTTATTTATTATTTTATTAATTTCGAGCGATTTGATTGCGGAAAGGTAGGTAGTATTGGTATTCGTATACCTAATTGTGACATTTTTGAATAGAAATAACTTCCTACAGTAAGTTCAGGGGGCAAATGAATATGTATAGCGGTGTTAAAAAAAACGTATTGTGTGACGTATGAATTAAACGGCGTAGCACACAAGCGGGCGCGATTTCTAAAATAATATTAGTCTAGTATGTATTTTTATAATCTTTTACCAAAAGTAACAAAGAAAATGTTTATGTAAGTGCGGAAAATGATTGTTTTTGAACACACTTTTCATCTGGTGTTTGGATTTACCATTCCTGAGCAAATATTACTATGCAAGGCAAGTATAGTTTATAATATCATTTGTATGATTGTTTTTTTTATTTTTATTAGGGGGTTGTTTCTTTCTATAGAACATGATCTAGGTATAAAGAAAACATTAATCCAATCAGATACGGCATTGTCCATCGCACCTATAGTGTGCTGTGGAGAATCCGGTGCTCTGATTGGATTGTTGCTTTCTATAGAGATAATTTTCTATAGAAAGTAATGTCGCAAATTGTTTATTGCTAGTAAGTTTAGGTTGTAAACAAAAGATTTGCAATAAAAATGCATTTGAACAGTGTTCTATGAAGTTCCCCCCCACAGGTTCTAGTGAATTTTGTATTGGTGCTTGTGGTCGTCGTACGTATTAAATTGAGTGCGCACTTTGTTGAACTTGTTTGTATTTAATGACTGTCATTTTTGTATTTGCCGAGGTGCAAATATCATTTGTCCATGCGTTTAAATACGGTAAATTACTAAAGTGCATTGTCGAGTGTGGATGATGAAAACAAAAGATAGTTAGCGTAAATCTAACCCTAAATTTAAAGTACCGGTTTAGTGTATTGAACTGTTTATCAGCTGATATTTTCAATAGGTCTTATTCGAATCGAACGATGAAATTTATAGAGGAAAACCATTACAAAAAGTATGTTTTCGTTGTATAATTAGTGCTGAATAGTGATGGACAATGGCTTTATTTAGGAAGATTCAGTTCGTTTTATAGGTTAAGTGATATTAGTGAAAATGTTGCTTTTCAAGAAAGCTTACAGAGACGAACTCTTGCAACTTGCTTTAATGCTAAGTTTGCTTAGAGTCAATCAAAACAATTTCTTCGACTACGAATTATACAACAACGTTAGTTATTTGGACTTTGACAATGGCACAAGCTGGAGAAGCCTAAGCCCATCAACTCTAAGATCTCATTTGTCGCACCCCAAAAGTCTGGACTCAGTATTGTTAAACTATGAGAGAGAACTCTTTGCTGACTTAAACTCCTTAGGCAGATACCATCGGTCTGAGTACAGACACCCCGATGTGCATGCCTACTTGTTGAACATCGAAAGGGGGGCCCCCATTGCTAATGCAGTTGAAAGTTTACCGGAAGTCGCCCCCCCGGAAAACCAAAATGCCAACATCAACATCACAACCAACGAATCAACAGATAACTCTGCAGAACCCATCCAGCAAGGATTGGAGCTAACTCAGGAGGTAACATAAGTTCTAATATTTGATTTAATATATAAAAACCTTCCAATAAAAAGTATTTTTTGTTTACACTAAAAACAAACTTAAGTCTGCCACATCTAATTCTAAAACAGGCTGTATGATTTAATACTATATATAAAACAATCGATTACCTAGATAAATTTTGTTTTGTAGTTTTCTTCTATTTTTATAAAATAAAAACATGTTATTTTATAAAAATAGTAGAAGTAGTAGTAGAAAAAACAAACACAAAAAAAGTTAAAAAAACGATACAAAAATCAATTAAAAGAAAACAAAAGGCTATCAAAAGAAAATAAAGGTTTTACTTTATAAAATAATTCTTGTTAATGACTACATTTAGTTATATTATTATTTAATGATGTATTGTGTAAAATGATGACATTTTGTGACGTTTTGTTTTGTTCTTATTTTTTTGGTAAAAATTCTTATTGGATATTTCTAAATATGATGCTATATAGTAATAAATGATGACATATGTAGCTGAATCACCAATGTTGTTATTTTCTTAAATTTGAAGACAAAGGTAATACATTGTATACAATATATAATTTGTGGGTAGATTTCAATAAATAAATATAAAGCAGATTTTTTTTCACAAAATGCGTTTTGAGGTCAGACTTAATAAATATGTGTCTTTGATCACTTTGTTTGTGCAAATAAGATCATATGCATTTCTTTTAAAGTCCTCTGAACTGAAATCGTTTTTTCATTTAAATTGAACCTATTTGAACCTTATTTACATTCTATAAACTATTGTTCAAATATTATTATTATTTTCAATCAATTTTGATGCCGAAACGACGAAAATAGAATGAAATTTAAATTTAAAATATGCTACTTACAGCAGTTGTTTGCTACATTATACAAAGGAGGTCAGAAATAGAAATTTTTTCGGGAATATATATTATTCAAAGCCGAGCCAATTGTCAGCTGAGTTTTCTTTGAAAACATATTTTTTTAATGGCATATACCTACATATAATTATTTAATTATCAATACGTCATAGTATAGGCAAGGACATCTCACATTTACCTTTGTTCCAAAACATTTTTACGCGTTAAACTTATGTTTACAACATCAAATCAAAATGATTTGTGAAATCGAAAACCTTATTATTTTTATTATTATTATAATGAAACAAAATATAAAATCTTTAACAAGTAATTAGACCATATATAATTATTATTTAACTGTACTTGAAACAATAATCCTCACATGTTAAAGTGTGATAAACCACAATATTGTAAGTTTTACTGCATTACAACTTATAAATAAAAAAGGCTTGTAAATACTAGTAGGTATTGATTTAATAAGTTACATTATTTCTTTGCCCTTTTTCGTACATATTTACTATTTTCGGTATAAACTATGTTGTTGATTACCTTAAGGAACACCTAATAAGGTGAAGATCTAACTTTCTTATAAATGCACATGTTTCATTATACCTATGTCTTTAAAATTACGGTGCTATTAAACTATTTCTCATTCAAATACTGTACTTTGAAACATATAAACATACAAAAATATATATATTTAAATTTTTACCCAGGTATTTTTAAGCATATTTGTATTAAATTTCGCGTGGGTTTGGGTTGAGGTAGGCCCGCTAAAAAACATGCAGACAAAATTCGTCTAAGGTTAAAATTAGCATCTAATTAAAAAGCATACTAAGAATATATAAATACATCTGAGACATAGTCTTAAGGTCAAAGAAAAACTGATAAAGTATATACGAATGCAGTTAATTTATAAATAGAAAAAATTCGGTCAAGCATACTTTTTGATTTTGTGATTTTTTTTCTTCAAATACTTAAAGAGGTCATTCGTTTTTGTTCTGGCACATTTTCAGGTTTCGCTTGTTGCTATCCGTTTGTGAAAACAACTTTTCCTTTAATTACAAAGCTAATACCAAAATAAATAGTAAAAAACAAGAAAGTGAGTTAATCGGACATGTTTCGTTTGTCAGAATGTCTCGTTTAGTTAGTCACCTTATCTCGAAAATTCTAGACAATCACTTTCGTATTAAGGGGTCATTCTTCATACCTACATCATAAGAACATTCCAGAAATACCCGCATGTTTTTAATTAAATTAAACCACTTCAAATAGATTAAAAATAAATTCACAAACCATATTAATATTGATAAAAAGCTGGTTATTGTTTTACGTTGATTCCAACTTTTGTTGCGAAATTCTTTGTTTGCTTTAAAATTAAAATTTTATTTTGACGGCCAAATAAACGCAATGTTGCAAGTTCAAGTGGGCAATAGGCAAAAACGATATAAAAATAGAATTTTTTTAACTTGCGTCGGTCAAGATCACACAAAAATGTATTCAAAACAACTTGATATTGCTTCTATATATTAATAAATTTCAAAAGCAGTCCAAAAAGGTTTAATTTTTTTATATTTGTATTATTAGTTACCACACATATGCGTCCTCTATTGTTATTTGTACATGGGTCGTTTAACTCCCAAACACATCCATATTAATGAAGAAATTTCTCTTTTTATATTATTGAATAAGGCGCGGTTTTTGACGACCTCGAGAACGCAACCCAGAATGCATTGATGTGTGCGGGTTGCCTACACTGCATTTATTTTAATTTGGAAGATCCATTGACCTTTTTTATATCTCATATCTGACTTACTGTAAATTAACTCGCTGATAACATATAATATAAACATATATTTGATATGTTTAAGGAGCTTTATTAAATGGATTCTTTAATGTTAAGGCGTATTTAGGTATTTTTAAAAAATGAGACCATTATTATTATGTTTATTGCCAAGTATTTACCAACGACATATTTACTACAAATATTTGTAAACATAAATAAAAAAGTTATTTTTGTATAAGGTGAATGTAATATAATTATAATTAAAATATAGGTATGTAATATAATTTTAGAGAACAGGTAAACTTGTTAATGTTTTTTAATTTAATGACATTATAATTATATTGACGAGCAAAGTAAATAAATAATAATCAGATAACTTAATGTTATCTCCTAAATTATAGGACTGACGAGAACACAGCGCAGTACTGTATTGCCTGTTGTACTATACAAATTGTATATAGGTAGTACAATATATATAAAATACTTTCGATAACTCTGTATAAACCACGTGTTAATATAATTCTGTGGTCAAGGATATTCCATTTAATTCATTTGACACCGCAAACGCTTTGTTTTACCGTCTAAAAAAGTTAAACCTGTCAAAGACAAAAAAATAATCGACTTTTGGTGAAATACAGTTTTAGTGCAAGTGTTTTTATGTGGATTATGTACAGGGATTACTTTTAGCACATCAAACGGTATGTTGGATATTTTCAAGTACTTTCTAAATTTTTTAACGCCTTTATTTTGGAAAATAAACACTTTTAGTTGTAATATAACGTTTTATTTGTATGTTAAGGTTTCAGTAATTTTTGTTATTTTGTCAAAACGTCTTCCTACTTGTGTCATCTTGGAAAAACATGATGACGTAATGACTACGTCAACAGGTCAAGCATTATTACTCAGGATTATTTATCAAAATTCTTCATAATTTTGCTGGTTGTGGGGAATGATACATTTTTATACGTAAATTGGTAATTTTTGTTAAAACATTCTTTTAGAACTTTCGTTTAATTGTCATTATTGTTACTAATAGATGGAGCTCGTCTTGTTTTGTGTTTCAAGGTTGTGTTATAGTAATTAACTCTATGTTAGTATAGTAGGTATCTATAATTTTTTTAAATGTGTTAATTTAATAGTATTCATTTCATACTACTTACAGCTAAAAATTTTTGTTTTTATAACAAGCCTTTATGTTTATATTTAACATGATAAAAAATAATTATATTTTATGATAACAATTTTAAACTACCCCTTAGAACATGTTAATTACTAATAAAACTGATTAGTCCAAAAGTAAATTATTCATTAATTAAATATTTTAAAAATTTGAATAAAAACATGCTGTACTATTTTTAGATTTATTAATAGATGTTAAAAATAATTTAATTTTTCAAAATTCGATAGTTACTCAAATATAATCGTGTACGATAATGGGGTTTTTAAAGGTTGAAGTAGAAAAAATAAATAACTTAAAGTTGAAAGAAGTCACGACTTATTTATATAAAAAAGTCGAAAAACAAAGCTTTTAAAATTAAATTTAAACAATCTATGCAATTTTATTTCTATTCTATTCAATACATTACCCCATGCGGCATATTAGCTGCCTTTACTATGCATTTAGCTCAAACAATCAATTAGAGATGTTTGTAGATAGTGAAAAAAACATGAATTTATGATGGTATCACTGACGTATCGAATGTTTTTGTTGAATAACCGAACGACAGGAACAAAAATTAATAGTTGTTGTACGTTTGAGGTGGTCCAGTCGAAAAAGTCTTAGGACGTCGCCGCCATAAAGTGTCCTAACATCATTTGTCATTAAAAAAGAATCTGACCACCCTATGAACATGAAAAAGTCATTTGTCAAAATATCAATTGTTTAACTTTCGAATAATCGGCCGACCGCAAGTTAACAACTTTCCCTTATTGTGTCCGGCAACCCTTTATTTTTCGTTTTTACCTACCTGTAGTTATCTTATATCTATTATTGTATCTTTTAATATGTACCAATAGTTCAATTTACATTAAAATCAAGATAAATTTCGACACAAGAAAGGTATTTTTTGCAAGCTTAAAATTAAAGGCAATGGAATTTTTATTTTTAAATCGTTTAAAATTTGGAAAAATCAAATGTATTACTTAACTGAAGTATATATGTTGTTGTTAAATTAACCTTAAAAAAGAATATTACTTATAGGTTATTTTATTTTAATTATGAGACATAGTTTTACTATATTAAATAGTATATTATGTACCAAGTTTGATAAAAGCCATTTTAGTCACGAGTTGCGACAATTGCGTAATATTATTTAAAAAATAACTTTAAAATATGTTTATGTTAAGAAAATATTTTACTTTTT